TTTTCTCTGTGGCAGGCCGGTAAGCTCTGTGGCTGATGAAGCAACAGACTTTAGTTTATTGAAATTTAGAATAAAACAGTAATAAGTATGCTGCCCCTTTAAGGCCCAGGAGACTTCCCTAAACTGTAGTCCAAAATAAGTACCTAAGGCAAGGCTTGTGTCAATCATTATGAATTATAAGGGAAAACTCTAATCTTGTTCCACTCTCAATTCCAGGCTCTTGCTCTCTTTCTTAGCTCCTCCCCTGCTGGTTTATATCCCCGGCACATCAGGGGACCAGTTCTCTGCTGCCAATGATACTTACTACAGTTCCAGCAAGAAACATCTTGCTCAGTTCTTCCAGGTGCAGTTCCATACCAATCCAAGCCCTGTTAAGTAATGGAAGTCCCGGGGGTGGGATAAGAGCCTAAGAGTTTTTAAACTTTTCAAAATTAAATGAACCCCAGAGCTTCTCATATGGAAGAGCTAGGAGAAAACACTGGTCAGTTCCTCGTTGTGTGGAACATGAAATAAGAGTTTCTGAGTAGTAAAATGCAAACAGTGTAAACCCCATTCTGCGCTGACCTTGTTATTAAACTCTCTTGGAAATGGTATCAGTGAAGCTATTTTAGACACTCTTTTAGTCTCAAGACTTGAAAGTTTAATAAAATGCGGCGGGACCAGGCTCTGCTCTCACTTACAGCAATGTAAATCTAAATAACTTCATTAACATCTGGAGCAGTCCTCAGATTTACACTGTGAGGGCAGAATCCTGTCCCATTGGTTCTCAAATGTAGCTCTTTATATAACTATCACTATTAGCTGCCCAGACCTCTCAATCTACAACTCAACTTCCATTTCCTAAGATAGTTGACATCTGTTCAAATGCCAACATCTTCACAACCACACGCAATTTTAACTGAATATTGTGAGCTTCAAAGCGATACTAAGTGTAAGGTTCAGTTTCTAGAGGTTATGGAGACACTGACGCTTAGGCGGTTGCCTGATTTTAAAACATTCGGTGGTGTCGCCGCCCTTGATTTTCATCTTAATATGCAATGACCCAGAGCTGCTATAATTACAGTGACATTTTTTAATCGAAGCATTGAACTATCTGGTAAATCACCGCAGCTCTTTACCATGGAATCTTCATTTTCAGGCATGAAAGCTTCTGGTTTAGTGCTGCCTCAGGTACCAAGAGTTTTCACATTCACCCAAGCACTGACACGGCAGTAAAGCACTCTTGAGATGCTCAGCTCTGTGTTTTCAATAGAGGTAACAAGGAAGAACCATTTCACCCTTCCCGCCTGTGTATCTTACAGCTGCGTTTCCAGGATATATCCTACATTTTAAAGCAGGGGGAGGGGAAAGCATTTGAAATGTTCATAGTTATGAAGAATGTATCCAATAGTCATGTAAAGTGTGAGACTAAAATAGTTAAAAGGTTTTATTAGAGGAACAAAGCATGAGACTAAGATTTTCCTCTCTACAATGCACCCTTCCTGGACATCTCTACTTTTCAATGTATTTTTAAAATTTAGTGTGAATTTAGGGTGGGATTTTCCAAGCCCCCTAAGGGATCTGGATGCCAGATTCCAATTCATTTTGTTTATCCAAATCTCTAGCCAGCTTTGAAAATATCAGGAGAAAGTGAATATCTAACCAAATTTGGCACCAGCAACTATCTTAGGAAACTCCACAAGTGCATCACAGCCTCGCTTTACAACACTTTGGTTATTTCAGTCCTGGGCTTCTCCTGCTCATAAATGGAGAATCAGGTCACACATTCCCCCAACATTCAGGTTTTGTTATATAGGTCACTAAGGAACAGGGAAGTGACCACCAAATTCATTTCACTTGTTAGACAAGCCAAAATAAAACCACAGACCTCCAGCTTTCACCAATTGTGCCATTAATTCCCTTCTGCTCCCCAGAGTATCTTGGATGGCCACAATATTCTTTCTCATTTACCAAAACAATGCCAACTCCCCCATTATACAGACATCATTCAAGTCCTGCATATGAAGGGGTTGTCTTTGCAAAGAAGTGTACCCATTATGTTTGGGGATACGCTAAAGAGAGCTGGCTGTCTAATCAGAGTGGTCTCATGAACAATCTTGAATATGTGAAGCTAGAGTATTTAAAACTTTCTAGGGAACTTTGGACCTATCTTTTCCTTCCCTGCTAGTATAGTGGTTGGCAATAATATAAAGCTATATTTGCACACCTGTCAATAGTCTGATCCTGTGTCTCATGATTTAATGAGACTTTTGATTGAGTAAAGACTGCAGTATTTGGCTTATAATCTCTTTAAAGCATAGTATTCACACGTGTGTGTATATATATATTAACACTATTAATATATTAATATATATATATATATATATATATATATATTTGTAAAGACTTACAAATGTTGATACACTCCAGGACAGTACACATATCAAAGAAAAAAAAATAACAGGTGGAAATAAAATGTAAATTACAAACATCAGCTAGGAATTAGCGGCACACTAAATGTGGGGTATAGTTTTAGCAACAAGGATACATTTTTATCTGAAATTAGATAAAAAATATCTTAGAAACAATGGCTGCTTTCAACTGAAGATATATTATGGACTAAATATATAAGCATATAGGTAGCCCATGTTTTATGGTGCTTTTTAGTATATTTTTATGACTCCTAAATGGTGGATTCCCTAAAGATATGAGGGGGGGGGGGGTTTGCACAGGAATTTGCTCAAATGCCAATTCAATGATTACTTCTCATATATGGAATTTTGATATCCATTTGGTACTGATTTACACCAGTGTTTTCAAGGCTGCCAACAAGCAAATACAGAATGGCAGGCACCCAAAATTCCACAAGAGACAACTGTCTTTTATTTGATAGTTTATGCAGTTTGAGCTTAATATGATTTTCCACTAACAAGTTCTGTGCCTCCTCCAAAGTGCTAAAACTGGTATGCAGATCTGCAAAGTAACAGACTGTTTGAGGAAAGTTTAATATTAAACTCATGATAAATTATACAAATTATATTGTTTACTTAAGAAAAAAGAGTAAGGTTAAAAGAGCTGACACATGATTTATTGCAGACACTTGTCTTGCATATTCACATTATTAAGGTCAGCCACACATGAGACAGCAATACATAGGGTTAGTGTTATTCTCTGATACAGAATTAGTAAATCGATAGATAAAAAAGAAATTTTACTGGAGAACTTTAATGCAAAACAAAATATCATGGGCTAGTTAGCTCATCTGGAATACAGCATGCTTTTGACAAATAGGATGCAAGTCATATCCAATCCTTTCAAAGAGGGATTTAAAAAAAAAAAGCTGTTCTTGAAGATGCAAGGAAAACCACAAGGAAGAGCACATGGTTTGCTCACTTTTCGGGTGGACTGTGGGAAAACTGGGCGTGAACTTCCAAAACAAGGTGGTATGATCAGGCCCAAACCCCTTATTCATTATGAACCTCTTCCATGAGAAACATTTTAAAAGGAGAAAATTAAACCTGCTCAAGGAAACTTTGAAATTAGCACCCGAATAGCAATGATTGGTATCCATGCAGGATCCTTGGAGATGAATATGGGATGAACCACTGGTTAATTTAATGTCAAGACTTATTTGTCATACATATAGTTAGTCTAAATTCATATAACAGAACCTGTCTGTTTAGGATATCATCTGTAGTAGATGGGGGTTGTACTGTATCCATTCCAGATTTATCAGATATGAAGTTAAGACTATGTCACCTGATCATTTACTAGGCTGCCAAATAATTTTGATTGAATGGAACCATGCATAGCATTTTTAACGACATATGCAGTAATGAGAAGAACAATTCCTGAGGTTTCCAGCACAAAGAAGAGCAGAAATAATCCCTTGGGTGTAGCACTGAGACATGACGCACAAGGGAATCTGTAGAGATTCACAGCCAAATCAGCTGAACATTTTGGGCTATATTCACAAGAAAACTTAGATGTGGTGATGCTCAACGTCACCCCAATTCACTTTTAGGTGTCCAGAAAATCACTGGGATTCACAAAGCCTGAGGTAGGTGCCTCGGCTAGCTTTACAAGGGGAGAGATAAGTGCCTTAGAATGCAGCTCCCAGACAGGTGCTGAAGTCTGCTGCTGGGAAGCACCTCCAACTGCCTGAGATTCTCAGCTGCAACCCATCCTACACTTAAAAATATATATATATATTTATTCCACAGTGAAACAGCTTCAGTGAGAGAGACTGAGGGAGCCCCACATAAGAATATCCCCTAACTCAGTGGTTTGAGCACTCTGTGAGGTGGGAGACACCCTCCCTCAGGAGGAGGGGAACTTGAACAAGGGGTCTCAAATATCCCATGTGAGTACCCTACCCACTGGGCTAACGATTACCAAGGGAACTGCTCCTTCTCCTCACTCTACTTTCTACCACACTGAGCATCTTGTAGAAAATTGCTTATAGGGCCTGATGCAGTAGGCAAAGTCTAAGCAGGCTTACTGGATCGGGCCCTGCAGGCACCTTGGCTTTTCTTCTCCCAGTCTGTGCATTGTTATGGGGCTTCTTCTCAATTCAGGACTTATTTTCTACCTTCCACACGTGTAACTTGTCTACCTGTTTCTGCTGATACTATTGGCGGGCACTACCTCTACACCATACCTAACAGAGAATCTTCACAGCCTGATCTGGAATGGTTACAGGAAACAGATGTACTTTAGGTCTTCAAACTTGTCCTGGATTTTACTGATGAGTTCATTTTCTATGTGCATTCCACTTGGTCTCTCAGCTAACATAGCTAACTAGTGTATCAGCTAGTGCACACTGACTATTGTTAATTACTGAATTGCTAGTATCTATTATAGAGCTCTCGTATTACCTTTTCTGGGTGGTCACTATATGTTTTGGACATTTTTAAAGAGAACGACACTCCAGCTGTCACAAGTGATATTAGTGGGAAAAAATGGTCACCTGCATGCAGCAGTATTGTGTCCAGCACTTCACGAAAAATCAAACACAATAATGCTGTGTAAAATATTTATTCTTCCACTGATCATCTATGGATAAAGATGATTCCTACTATCATAATGTAAATAAAAATGTTCACTGCTCCTCTTCGGAGCACCAAACTCTCACTTGATCACGAGTACTGATACTGAAAACATTAATTTGGAGTTGAACAGACAGATAATTGAGCACTGTGTGCCATTAACACCTCCTGAAACTGTAGCGGTACATAACTGCACACCACAATGGGCACATTTCATTCTATTAACATGTCGTACAAATCAGAACCTAATAGGTCAGCAGACATTAGAACATTAACAGATGGGAGGTATGTTATGTGGATAATTTTTAACTGTTAGTAGTAAAAAAGTACATAAAATTATTTTTTAAAAATATTATATTTTTAGCTACACAATTATACATGTTATTAGCATGACATTACATTTTGGTTATTTTTATGTACATACATTTCCCACCAATACACAGTTCATAAATTAATACTGCCCATTTGGGTGCTAAAAAATAACTACAGTATCCAGAATAACCCAAAACTATTTAGTGTGAAAGTTCATAAATTAACTTTGAAATTTCAAAAACCAGACATGCATCCTGTAACAAGACAAAATGGAAAAAATACACTCTGCCTTCTTTGGAAAAAGGTCCAAGGAAGCTTATGTAACCCTGAGGTGGCCAATATAACGACCCCAAAAGCATTCTCAGTCATGGCCCTATGCCCATAAGCTTATAATTCCCTGTTCATATATTAATTGAGAATGACTACTTTCCTTTGCTTTCCCCTTCCTGGCACAGGCTTCTGGCTGACTCCATTTCTGATTCTTTTCTTTCTATTTCTTTTCTTGGAAACAGTTGTTGCCTGCATACTCTCTGGAACAGTATGTTGTGTACAGATAACTTAGGAGCAATGTCAGTTTATATCCAGAAAGGATCCAAACATGTGATCATGGGCAAAGCTGCTCAGAAGCCATTACACATATAATATACCCACTGATTCCAAAAGGGTAGCCACCCTTACTCTTTGTAAGGCATATTTCCCATAGTTCACCCTGTCCTGTTCCCCAAGTGCCAATTCTGAGTTAAAATTATGGTAGAAGCATATGTATGTGTGTTTTATTGATACGATACATACATACACAGAAACAGCATGGGTTGTATGTGTGTATATATACACATAAGCTGTTATATGTATGATATATATTACATACAGGGCTAGATTTTCTGCACCAGCTGAGATGTACTCAGCATAGTCCCAGTGATGAGTGGGGGAGTCACAGATGGCTTTATACAACCTTTATACAGCCCTGATCCTGAGACTGGAGACGCTACCTCAGCCACATTCCAAGTGGATTCCCCTACACAAGAGAAATCCGCAGGTAGCCAACTTTCCAGCTGCCACAAAAATAGCTTAAGGGAGGCAGAGAGGTATTAAAGGTAACCCTCACCAACAGTCAGCATTTTAAATTGAAATCCTCAGCGATAAACCATTAATCACAATGAAGAGTCATTGAAATCCTTAATGATAAACAATATAGCCTGTAATTTGGGTAAGTCAGCTATCAGACACCTGGGTATGTGATTTACATTAGATACCAGGGCTTTTAGTAGATAGAAAAAGGTAATTAAAGGGCAACTCTCACAGGTTTAGAGCGTATTTTGCAAAGAACATGATAGTGAGAAAGTTTATGACTAAAGTATCTTATCTTTTGTAAACCATAAAAAAATAAAATGAATACTGATGATATAGCTCTGACATGCTGTTTTACTCATTAAACAATGAACAAATATGTTTTAAGCCAAATTCTCCTTTAACATTTTACCAGTGGTTAATCACCTACACCTGAACTTCTTCCTCTGTTGCATGAATTTGGCCAGTTTGGCATGTTCCTGTCAGTCCTGAATCTGACCTCACTGGAGAAGCTGTAGGAGTCTGCATGGCAAGTAGAGACAGAGAAGGAGAAAAACTGGGAGTCATGGCCGGTGAAGGGTATCTAAGATTATGGATAAGGGGAGAACAAGGGTATTTTTTAAATGCCTGCCCAGGTATTATAGTTGGCAGATGTGGTGGCACTGTCCTTATGCCAGGTTGAGCTACTGATGTTATCAAGGGAGGAGGGAAAATAAAAGATTTCTTCTCCTTAGGAAAGCTATGAATTTGTAAGCTTTCATCTTTTAGTTTTGCAATATCATTAAACACAGAGGCAAGAGGCTGAAATCTGGGTTCCCAGGTAAGCAAGTAATCCCAGTTGTAACTTCCTCTAAGATCCTCATCAGAGGCTACAAGGGTTGCAAGTGATCCATACCGGGAATCCTGGCCATCAGAGATGAAGATGTATTCTCTTGTGATGTCTGTCATTATGTCTCTCTCTTTTATCCCAATTTTTTGAAGAGTTTGGGACAGAATTTTGTTATGGGCATAGTTTGGGTCACAGCCTTCTCCTCCTCCTTCATCTTTGAAGGTGTGGAAGCTCTCTGCATTTTGAGTGGCGGTGAACACATCAGTTTCTCCAGACTGACAGGATAACTGGTCAGAGTCTCTTGGAATTCCTGAGTCTGGCACGCATGAGCCTCGCTCACTTAAAGCTGAACCCAACCCCTTTCTGCATGGATGCTCATTGATCCTTTTGATTTCCTCATCTTCTGCAGTTTCCCCTTCTGCTGAGCCATGACCACTAGAATCTGAGTGCCTGCTGGGGTTACCAATATCTTCCTTTTCTCTGATGCCTACCAAACTCAACCACTCTGTTATGGAGCCCATGGGAAGTGTACTACTTTCAGTGCTCTGGAGTTTCTGGCAGTCCTTAGGAATATTATCTTCATGGGTCAAGCTCAAATCAGCTGATGAAGATGATGTTTCTCTTTTCATACAGGAGTTTATCATGTCTTTTCGTTTGTATCTCAGAATAAGTGCAATAAGGCTGATGGCAAGCAGCAGGAACACTACAAAAGAGATAGTAAGGCTAATAGACAGGATGTTTACAGATGCTATGGAATAATTCTCAGGAGAGTTGGAAATATTTACCAGAACAGTGCAGGTAGTGGATTTAGAGTCCAGTTTGGGGCTGTGAGCTCTTACTAACAATTCAAGGTTGTCATCTTTCCTTTTGGTACTGCTCTTCTTTCTGTGAAAAGTTCTAGTCAAGTAGATATTTCCATTGCTCTGATTTACCGAAAAGAATGGAGAAGGTTTTAACAGGGAGTAGTGAATAACTCCATCCAATCCAGCATCATTATCGGATGCTGCCACTTTGCCAACCAGCTGACCTGCTTCATTTTTCTCAGGGAGACCAAAAAAATATTGATCTTCGGTAAAAACAGGATCAAATTCATCTGTCCCTTCAACATCTACCTGAACTGTTAATGTGGCTATTGAATCACCTTTGTCTTTTGCCTGGGCTATAAAACAGTACTTATTCTGACTTTCATAATCAAGCATTTGTTTTGTTTGTATATCTCCTGTCAAAGAGTCTATGAAAAACATGTCATGATCTTGAGGAGATCCATGATCAGACAAACATGATGACTGGATCGAGTAAGTAAGGTGTCCATAGGGACCTGTATCAAAATCCAGTGCATAAACTGTGCACACAAAAGAAAAGGCAGGCAGATTTTCATGGACAACACAGTTCAGGCTGGGAAACAAAAACAGTGGAGCATAATCATTGTCATCTAGGACACTGACAAAAACAACAGAAAAAGCCACATTTCTTACATTGACCCCTCCATCAGAGGCTTGAATAGTCAAAGTGAATTTAATTGTTTCCTCATAATCCAGAGTTCTGATCAAATCCACAGAGCCAGTTTTCCCATCTAATCGAAAGTGCCCCATGTCATTTCCAGAGATTATAGTGTAAGTGACCTCTGCATTGGCTCCTGCATCACAGTCATTTGCTGAAACCACAGTGATATGACTACCTATTGGGATATTTTCTCTGACATGAATGCGATATTCCAGATTGCTAAATACTGGTGGATTATCATTAACATCTAGTACAGTTATCAAAACAGTAGCACTGGAATTCAGGGGAGGTGTTCCACGGTCAGATGCAAGAATGATCACGTGGTGAGAGGAAGCAGTTTCCCTATCCAGCGGACTACTCAAAACAAGGTTGCCAACCATCTTGTAAGGTGGTGTTGATTCAATGACACTTGTTTCCACATGGAATAGGTTATTAGTGTTGCTGCTTATAATAGAGTATTCAATGTATGTATTTTCATGTATCCAATCATAGTCAATGGCTGAAAATGTGAGGATAGTCCCTCCGACTGAGGCATCTTCACTCACACTCACATTGTATAGTGCCATTGTGAACTGAGGTGCATAGTTATTTACATCCTGTATCTGTATCTCCACTGAAGTAACAGCAGTCAAAGCAGGGTCTCCATTGTCTTTGGCTTCTATAAGAAGGTGAATAACTGAACTCTTGCCCAGGTGTGGCACTGGTTTGGCAGTAAATACTGACCCTGAAAAACCAAAAACCAAAATCAAATGAAGAACACAACAAGTTAGGTACCTATATGGATTTAGGAGCTTAACTATAGATAGCCAGGTCTGAAAATCAATCTGATATAAAGGTAGTGTGTGTGTGGGTATGCGGAGCTTTTATACAGATAAAGATATAGATTACATATAAAGATAAAAGAATATTGTTAAGGTTGCAAAGTCAAGCACTGCTGTGATAACTGGGCATACAAATGCACCCTAATTGTGAGCTCAATCGTGAAAGGTAAGTGAAAGTTTAAAAAAAATGTTACAATGCACTTTTAACAATAAATGCTGATTTTAAAGGCACAAAAGGGAGACAGACAGACTGAATTAATCCAAACAAAAGGCCTAATGATATAAACTCAAGGACTGTGTTGAAATTATGTCAAAGAATTCTAATAGATTGGTGAGCCATGACTTCCCTTTACAAAAGCCATATTGACTCTTCCCCAACAAATCGTGTTTGTCTATGTTTCTTATAATTCTGTTCTTTACTATAGTTTCAATCAATATGCCTGGTTCTGAAGTTAGGTTTATTGGCCTGTAATTTCTAGGATCATCTCTGGACCTTTTTATCAAAATTGGCATCACATTAGCTATTCGCCAGTTATCTGGTACATCTAGTTTAAGTGATAGGTTACATACCATAGTTAATTGTTCTGCAATTTCACATTTGAGTTCGTTTAGAACTCTTGGATGAATACCATCTGGACCTGGTGACTTAATTGTTTAATTCATCAATTTGTTCCAAAACCACCTCTATCATCACCTCAATCTGGGACAGTTCCTCAGATTTGTCACCTAAAAAGAATGGCACAGGTGTGGGGATCTTCCTCACATCCTCTGCAACAGCCTTGTCTTTCCTGAGTGTTCCTTTAGCACCCTGATCATCCAGTGGTCACACTAATTGTTTGATGGGTTTCCTGCTTCTGATGTATTTTTAAAAATGTTTGTTTGTTTTTATGTCTTTTGTTAGTTGCTCTTCAAATATTTTTTGGTCTGCCTAATTGCACTTGTAAACTTGACTTGTCAGAGTTCATGATTCTTTCTTTTTTCCTCAGTAGGATTTGACTTCCAGTTTTTAAAGGATGCCTTTTTTCCTCTAATCACCTCTTTTAACTCTGTTGTTTAGCCATGGTAGCAGTTTCTTTGGTCTTTATTATTTCTTTTATTTGGGATATATATTTAATTTGGGCCTCTATTACAGTGTGTAGTGAGGCAGAGGGACCCCCCTTTGAGCCTGAGATTCAGGAACCACTATATTCTCCTTGGTGGGAGGAGCCAAGCCAGCCCCACCCACCACACCAGAAGCAGAGAGTCGGGACAGGAAGTGTGAGAAGTGAGCTCTTTAGCGCAGTTGGGCTGGGGTCAGTGAAGGACGCAGATGTCTCCAGCCCACTGCAGGACTCCGGACCAGACCCTGAGCTGTGCTGTGCTCTGCCCTGGAGGAGGAGACTAAGAGTGGAGAGGAGCTGCTGGGAATGCCATCTGTCACCTACCCCAAGGAGACTGAGGACCTGCCGACTACGGCGCCACACCAGTGGACTGTGGTAGGAAGTAACCCAGGGGAACCAGATATTAGTCAGGTTGTGCTGTTGCCACACGAGTCAGCATGTTTTGTCAGGAACCCTGCTACCTTAGTGGCGGGATCCCCTGCCACTGTTAGGGCCCTGGACTGGGATCCGGTGGAGTAGGGTAGGCCTGGGTCCCCCTACTTCCCTGTCACCAGCCCCAGCACTTGAGTGGTGGCATACTCCCTGTAGGCTGGAAGGCCTGTGACCTGTCTGTGGCTTGCCCCACCCAAAGACTGCAAGCCCCTCGACTGTGTGTGCTGTATGCCCTAGCCAGGAGGCTAGGTTACAGACTGCTTAATTGCAAGTAGTGCTCCACAAGGCCCATCAGACCTCGGAAGAATTTTACTCTTTGAGTGGGACACTGCTGAATTTTCAATAGATACTGGTTTAATTTGAGAAATGTGTCCTGTGGTAAAAAGGCTCTCCCACCACAGAGTCCAGTACACAACCTGTAAAGGGAAGGCAAAGAACTGACTCTGGGAGATTTAGAGCCCCAGGTCTGAGAAAAGGTTGGTTGTAAAGACAATATGACTTAATAAGACCTCACACAGAACAGCCTTCAGTAGCCAATCACCCAAACAGAGGTAAACAAAACTACCCTGATTCCTCAGATGAGCCGCTACCGCAGAGAGGCACTTTATAAAAACTCTGGGCACCATGGAGAAGCTAAATGGAAGTGCCTGATACTGGAAATAGTGTCCTGCTGCCAAGAAAAGAAGGTACTTGCGATGAGTGTGATGAATCAATATATGAAAATATGTGTCATTTGGATCAAGAGTCATAAACCAATCCCGGACAAATAGCAAAGTGGATTAGGGAGGCCAAAGTCAGCATACAGAAACGAGACTTCCGAACATATTTGTTCAAGTACCTTACATCTAGTATTGGACAAAAACCCATCGTTGTTCTTCTGCACCAGAAAGTAACAGGAATAAAAGCCCTGATCCCTCAGGTATTTGGACACCGTCCTATCAGGAGCCATTTTTCTACTTCTGCAAGCAGAATAGCCTTGTGAATGGGGTCCCTGAAGAGGAAAGGGTAAGGGAATCTGTGTGGAGGGAGGGCAGTTGTTTGAATTATATGGCATAGTCCCTTTCTACAATCTTTAGGACCCACAGGTCTGATGTAATCTACCTCCATACATTGATAAAGTGGGCTAGCCGTCTCCAAAAAAAGGGGTAGATTGGACTTGAATAACTAGCTCCCGACTCTTGATAGTCCCATCAAAACTGACTCTTGCTGCTTCGCAACAAAGATTCTGACATGGAAGGAGGTTGTTTAGATTTAAATATGGATTAGAAAGGCCTCTTTCTATGATGACTCTGGAAAACTGCAGGATGCTGGTACTGTGGGCATCTTTTACTCGATGAGATGTACGACAATGAAGAATGGGGATAGGACTCCCTCTGGTACCAGAAAGGAGTAGAGGGCCTCCTCCTAGCAGAGGGAATCAAACCCAGAAAGAGGGCTGTCAATCTCATGTCCTTTAGTTTTTCCAGTAATTTCCAGTCTTTTCGCTCAAAAGACCCTCCCTTTCAAAAGGGAGATCCTACAGCTTAAGTCTAGTGCCTAGCGCTAGAGAGGAAGAATGAAGCAAAGCTTCCTGATGGTCACAACAGACACCAATGCTTTGCCAGCAGTGGCCAGAGTGTCACAGGAACCCTGGGGAAGTGCTTGGCTACATTTTGACCCTCCATTAAAATGGCATTTGCCAACCCTTCTTCTGTCATCAGGTAAGTCCTGTAAAAACAATGTAATCTTCTCCCTGAAATGGAATTGGTAGAGGACCATGAGCTCCTGATAATTCGCCAGCCTAATACAAAGGAACAATGAAGAGAACACCGTTCTCATCAGGAGTCAATCTTTTCCCCCTCCTTATCAGCTTGGGTGGCTGGGGTTGTCAAGATCTTGCCCTGTTACTGACAGCAGCCACGACCAATGAGTTACATCTCTCAGACAGGTATGAAAGTAAGAAAATCTCTCAGAGGATATTTGATACAACTTGTCAGCTTTTTTGTAGACAGGTTGACAAGAAGCAAGAGCAGACCACATGAATTTAGCCAGCTGTGGCAAATCAACCAAAATGAGTAGGGATATTCCACTCCTAGAAGTAACACCATGGACATCAAACGCTGGGTGTGAAGTCTCTTCCACTGGCACAGCAGGTAGTGTCAGAGTGAACACCATATGATTCACCAAATTGTGGAATTGTGCACTGGTGTCAGAAGACGAGGAGGCTGAAGCCACCTCCCAGTGTTCACCTATTGATAAGTCAGGTTCATAGTCTGTTTCTAAATTCTCCTGGTCAAAAAGGGGGACTCTACCTCTCTTTCTTCCTCCTCTGACAGTATTTCAGGCATCACTGTCTGTAGTGTCGATGGATCTGGAGGAGTTGGATCCAAGGAGCTCTGGACTGCCAGTTGCTTAGTAGATGAAACATTAACTTTCCATCTATGTAGAGGATAACTGAAAAAATCCTGAGGTGGCCCACAATAAGGCAAAGGGCTCCAGGACGGCCAGTCTCCCCAGTAACTGGGGTTTGGCAACATGCCTAAAGGAGACAGATTAAAGGGTGGTAGAAAGCAAACCACTGGTCTCTGCATTCTTTCTCTAGCCTTCTCTGAGATAGAGTGCATTGGGGATAATGGATCCGAAGTGAGGAATGTAGATCCAGCTCTCTGTAGAGACCCTGTAGAAGTCCTATGAGGAGACAGGCTACAGTGTTCAAGAGGAAAAACAGCCACCGCTTCTGGCCTCTTCTTCCTAACAGGAGATGAAGAAGAAGAACTTGGAACTGGGAAAACATACCTCCGTTTAGAAATCTTGCACTTCACACTTGGATGAAACACATGAACTGGAGCTGAAAGGTGGACTTGGGCTGCCATGGTGACAGAGTTTCCCAAAACCAAGAATGTAGTCAGAGCCAACACAGGAACCAGAGCAGGAACTGACAGCTGATTTGAAGAATTGGACAACATGGGATCGGATGATACATCTGAGTTCATCTCCCTGACTACTGAAGCTGGAGATGAAACAGGTCTCTGCATCGAAATCAAAGCACCCTTTGCAGAACTGGATGGATCTGATAGTTCTGATGCCTGGGAACTGGCATGGCTAACAGTGGCTGTCTTGCTCCTATGTCTCTTTTTCTTCAGTGCCCCAACAGCTGGAACCAAAGGTGCTGACAGCCCAGGTTCTAACACATCAATCGTATCGTTTTTCTGGATCTGGAAGTGCCAGTCAGAACTGCCCTGGCCTTGCAGCCACAGGGGTTCTATGGGGATTGGATAGCTGCGAAGCACAAGGTACAATATCAGTGAGGGTGGCTGTACTGTCTCTAACCTCTCTTCCAGAACTGGGGCAGTCTAATCCCAACCATGTGACCCTTGGTTTGGAGATGGGTAACCTCAGGGGCTTGACTGAAGGAGTTGCAGGAACTAAGTCCGGCACTGACAGGGGTCGAAGTTTCTTGGAACCCTTCAGCCATTTGGAACTGCTGGGGCCCACACAGACTGTGACTGGCACCTTAGACCTTGAATCTTTGGTTTGGATGGATCCAGAGGGTCTAGCCTTGAAGGCTTTCTTGAGCAGGAGGAGCTGCAAAGGAGTCTTCCTATCCTTGCCGGTAGTGTCAATGGACCTGGAGGAGTTGGATCTTCTTGGAGAAAGGTTTGGTAGCTTGAACACCCAAAAGGCAAGTGGCCTTCTCCCAGGCACTTGAGGAACCACTTATGGTCGTCAGATGCTAGGAAAGACAGCCGGACAGGAAGCTAAACTCTTAATACCCAGCTTTTACTGCATCTTCGATTCAGCCACACTCTGGAATGGGGAAGAAAATTCTGACTAACTACTAAAACAAGCTAACATTAACTATCTTTAAAAGAAAGAGGCCTCTGACACTGAGGAAACAGGAGAACTTCACATCCCTCCAGGCACACAGTAGGAAGGAACTGAGTGCTCTAGCCTTATATAGCTTTGCCCTCAGATCACTGGTGACACTGAGGAGAGGGACGGGGGCACATGAGAGCACTCTAGCTGATACTTCTAGAAGAAGGTTCTATGGCAATGCACTGCAGTACCGAGTGGGAATATGCAGAGCCACTTGAAGGGCAGCAAGTAATATAAGTGATTTGAATGCACTCAAATTGAATAAGTGGCCCCATGCTGTTTTTACAGTATACAGTCAGCTCTAATGGCTATCTCCAAAATCCATTTAAAATATATAGTGGCAAGAATTTTTCTGTATAAACAAACACACACAAGAGACATTAGCAGATTTAGATGCTAGTTTCTGAAGAGAATGATATTCTTCAGAGAGGCCTTTCTTGTGTTAAAAACCTTAGTTATAAATTCCATTGACAATTACTACATAACACAAGTCATGTATAGTACTAGCTGTTCCAGTCTTCAGAAACATTAGACCTGAGCACAAACACTGCACACAAGCCTTACTGTAAATATAAGTAGTACAACTGGCACTTAGAAGATATTGATTAAGCATGAACACCAAATCAGCTTAAACTTAATGCAAGAGTTACGGTAGCTTTCATTTTAAATCATGGTAGAGGAATAGTCTACAGGATGCTGAGACTAGTAGCTTTGTACCTAGCCTGAGGATAGACAAAGGACTTCAGTCTTTAGTGCTATCAGTTCTTTAGCTTTCAGCAGCACTACTTCCATCACCTTTGCTTCACATAAGTTCTGGCTGAGGTTCACAGTAGCTATGTGGATAAATCGAGTGCTATACTCCCAGATGCCATCAGTTTCTCAGCTCTCATAAGCAGTCAGTTAATCACCTTATTTCCCCTCTGCTATGCAGAGGTACACTAAAGGAGTGTGCACTGTGACTCCTTCAGGTGCCCTTTACTTATGGATAAACAGAGGACTGCAGGCACGAAAGGCATGCAGAACTCTGATCACCAAAAATAACATTTGGCAATGGAATACGAATTTTCAGTCTATATGCCCTTACTTCACAATAAATTGTGTAACAAACTCACCATTTTTGTGATCAATTGAAAATCCCTCATAAGACGACAACATTTTGTAGGAAATAATTCCATTATGCTCTGAATCTCTGTCTATAGCAGAGACGGTCAGGACGGAAGTACCTACAGGAGCGAGCTCAGGCACGGTCACCTGAAGTGTAACCAAAAGTGAAATGTTTGATAAGAGTAACATAAAAGGTCTTGGACACAGCAAGTTACATTTTTGTTGATTTGATTATAGAAAACAAATACAGTTCCGAGCTTCGCGAAAGGTTTCACCTCCCGATTTCCTTAAGCTTAAAAAAGCTAATAGGGCTGAGATACTAAAACAATGCTGGCAACCAGTCCAAGATTCAGAGTGAACTATATTTTTTAAATAAAATTATCTATTTGAGATTTCATTCTGACCATTATTTCTTCTGAAGTAGTTCAGTGAGTTAGAGAGTTTAAAATGTCTCTCACTGCAACAAAACACTAATGGAAGCAAGGCTTCTCACAATATTGCAGCTCAATTTAGTTTCCCTTCCATGGATATCTTGTTTTTAGTACATGGAATAGAGTTCTGAGGCCTATTTTGAATTATTCAGTTGACCATATATTGTCCTGGTCCCTTAAAAGATTGTTATATGCTCTAAAAATCCAAGTGCCACAGAACTTAATAATCAACAGATCACTGTTATAATTTAGTTTTTGTGAACTGCTTACTTTCTTCACAGAATATTGGAAAACAAGGACGCATTTTCCTCTTTCATGTATTTCCATTATTTGAAGCCCACATGCACTATTTTTATTATCAAAATTTCCTTTCACCTTCTCAATCAAACTTCTAATGTTTATATGATACAGCAACTATCTCCCTCATAACTTCAGCTGTTACACATCTAGTTAAAATCACTTTAATACATGGATTATATGCATTTAAATCCATATACAGAATAAAAATGAAAACCTGAGAATAGAAGGGGTAAAAATTTCAGTGCAATGAACAGGTAATGAGATGTGCTTTTATACTTTGAGTGCAGGGGAGCTGTGTAATCTTACTGTCCAAGAAACACATCAAAATCACAATCTTTGGGCCAGAAACTCAGTTGGTTTATATGTAGTTGATTGAACAATACTTATTTCCTTCAGTTAAAAATCTTGCATAGTGTTTAGTGTTTCCCTAAACCATTCTGCATACATAGAAGATAAAAGGGACATAGAAAGATTTCTCTCTCTTGATCCCTATTCAAATCCAGCAGAAGACAATATTAACCAACAGTTATTACCAGTTGCTGGCTGCTTGGTGGCCTATATGAACAGAGTGTGGTGGTCTCAAACTAATTTATTATGGGTAGATATTTACACTATAAAAAAAATAGCACTAACTGGCACTCTTCTGGGCAGTCTCAACAATGAGTCTAGAGAATGAATAAGCTTGGAAATGTAACTAGCCCCTCTAGGTCAGATTGAGGTGTACCTGAAGTGCTGCCCCTGCCGATGCTGTAGTAGTTTGGTGGATAGACAGAGATCCTCCCTCTCCTAAGAGGTCATATACATCTTTCAAGAGCATTTATACATATGGTGTCTCTATTTGCCACCTTCTTACCTGATATGAATACTGAGTAAATACTGGTGGGTTGTCATTGACATCCAAAACTTGGATGGTGAGCTCTGCTTCTGTTTGATGCACAGAATCTGACACACTAATCCACAACTCATACTGAGCAGTTTCTTCAAAATCTAATGGTTTCACCAGTGTGATCACTCCAGTGTGTTGATTAATAGCAAATTTCATTCCCGGGTTACCATCTTCCGTAAAGCTGTAGAGAAGAGCTGGGCTTAAATCCACATCATTTGCAGAAACCTGAGTCACTACGAAACCAGGTGGGGCATCTGAAACAGTGATGTTCAAAATAAATCTAGTTAGTTGAAGTATATATAGTTAGTTGAAGTACATTTTGTAAATTTTAGTTAGTTGAAATATATTTTATAAATTTTAGATTTTACATGCATAGTATTTTTACAGTATTTTTGGCATATTTTGGCTTAGAATCTTGGTATATCTTAGAATAAGAGCAAGATATGGGCATGCTATATAAAGCAAATATCAGGAGCTACAGTAACCCTGCTTCATTCCTCAGAAGCGTGACCTTTAACTTGTATTTTATTTTAGACTTTCAGCCCTATTGTATCCCACAAAGACTACTCCTTCAAGGGCAACTTTAGGAAAGTATATAATTTTCTACATAGAGTTTCCTATGAATTGCTCAAATAGGGGATAGTGACTTATTGAGAGGAAAACCTGAGGCCAGGTCTACATTCAAAATTTAAGTTGACCCAGCTATGTCACTCAGGGGTGTGAAAAATCCACAACCTGAGTGACACAGTTAAGCTGACCTAACCCTGGGAGTAGACAGTGGTAGATGGATGGAAGAATTCTTTTGTCGACGCAGTTATCATCTCTTGAGGAGGTGCATTACCTACACTGACAAGAGAACCCCTCCTTTTGCTATCATGAGTGTCTACACTGAAGTGTTATAGTGGCTCAGCTGCACCACGGTAGCAGTTCAAGTGTAGATAAGCCCAGATGCAACTTTTGTCAGAATATTTGGGTAAAGCATAAGTATCCTTTTGTCTTTGTGGAATCAGGGCATGCAAATCCTAGGCTCTCCTGGATGAGGTAATGGTCAGTGGACATGAGATCTTCAGCAAAAGTTGGTACAGGACACAAGATCCTGAGGGCTCAACGGGCCCTTCCATGAGTTTGGGAAATGAGGACTAGATAGTTTAAGGCCAACATTCTCAAATTTGGTGCTAAACTTAGATATCTAAATAGAAGTGGCCTGACTTACATCCACATGAAAAAGTACAACTTTGATACACTCTGTCAACAGGAGCTGTGGATGCGCAGCATTTCTGAAAATCAGGCTACTTATTTAGGTGCTTAGATAGTGTCAGAAGTGCCCAACATGACACATACAAGTTAGAAAAGTTTGGCCTAAGTGGTCCAAGGTCACATAAGAAGTCAGATGCTGAGCTGGCATTAGAACTCAAGAACTCCAATCTCCATGCTCCATACTAGGCCATGCTGCTGAATGTTTCTAAAGAACGGTCTCATATGATGGAAAGAAAATGTTTCCTTCAAAATAATAAAATTCCAAAGATTTTTTTCACAGCATTGGCTTTAACAGCATTTTTTTCTACTAAAAAAAAGATAAATTTAAGACATCTGTGGAATTTGAGCTGTATTTTTTTTTTTAACATTTCCAGTATTTTGGCTCCGAACTATTCCTAAATATAATGTCCAAAGATTAAGAATCATGCCTTTGAAAGCAAAAGCAGATCATATTTGCTTCAATATTTCTGTTAATATTGCCATGATTTTTTGAGATTTCTTCCACTAAAAGATTTTGTTACAAAACAAAATGAAAGGTAATATCTTGATCTGACATTCCCTTGACTCAGTAACACTTTTCTGCACCGTCACACTTACTTTCAGAGACTCCCACTTTGCCTAGTGGTTGGATTGTTGGGGTATTGTCATTAACGTCGACTACCTGTATCGTTACTATGCTTGTAGCAGAAAGGCTGGGGGTTCCTCTATCAGCAACTTGCACAACTAACCTAGTATTGAAAGGAAGTCACAGTTGTCACACGCAGCCAGAAATAATAGAATTATTCAACAGTGATTTCAAACGTACAAAACGAAAATGAAAAATGATGAGATTAGCTAATATGTCTTACCTTTCTTCTTGCCATTGCCAAAATCACATTTTAATTTCCAATATACAAATGAGTGACTACAATTTTATTTTTTGAAGGTTGAAAGAACAAAGTCCAAGGGGACCTAGGTGACAAAGACATACTGAACCCAATGAAACAATGTAACAACTGCTGTAGGATTGACTAGACAGTCACCCTAAAAACTCAGGGTGAAATTCTGGCCCCATTTAAGTCAATGAAAGAATTCCTATGGACTTCAATGAGGCCAGGGTTTTCCCATCAGCATATAAAACAAGCATCTACTTTTAGGTCTTCATTAAACACCTGGACAAGGAACTGCTGTCGATTCTTCTAACATTACTTTCATTTTCCTAGACAATGTAACAAAGAAAGCAGTGATCCAATCAAACAAAAAATCATAAAAAGAAATTTGCTCCTGACATTGTTTCTCAGAATTAACTTCTATACAATCAATTGCTTATTATAAACAAAGATGGATAAAAAGAAAATCCCCAGAAAGGGAATTTAGGGTTGAATCTAATTCAGCTCCATGGATTGTTCTATAACTCCTTTAAAAAAAAAAGATGTGGTCAGAAGGTCAGACTAAACAAAGGTATATACACTGCAGGGGCTTAGCAATGTCAAATGTTTTATATAGTATAAACATTTAAATGGCAAGCAGCACTTTCTCTGTCTCCCTCGTTGAGTTTGAAGAGTTAAACTCTTCCGTCATCTTACAAGCACTTTCTGATGAAAGGGACAAATAAATAGTGACTTTCTTAATGTTCACCTGACAATACTGAACACCAAAGCTGTAATTCAAGCTGTGGATTCTACTGCCATCATGAACCACACATACTCTGAATTTTCTTGCTGTTTATGACACCAGCAGAACACAAAACTTGAATTACAGACTTGTATTCAGTTGGTAACCATCTATGTAATTCCATACAGAAGGCCTATCTGGTCGAGAATGAATATTTTCAAGGTACACATGGAAATGTTTTACTAAAAATAATAATTTTCAATGGAAAAAAAAATCTCATAAAATCATCTCAGCCCAGACATTAAAATTAAGGTTCTGTCAACACTTTTATTAAAACCCTCTATTTCAAAGGACTTAGAAATTCTGGGTGATGAAAATGTCTGATTTAGCTGAAACAAGCAACTGTTTTCAAATTTTGAGAGGAAAAAATGTAATTGGGCCATTTTGAAAAACATTTAAAAAAAAACAGTCAGAAAAACATTTTTTAGAACAGTTTCCGTTGCTCTTCTGATTCCTTTTACTACAAATAAGAAACCACAGATTATTAAGAATGAAATGATATATAAACAAACATCAAACAGAATTTACATTAAAAGAATGTTATGGTTCTGATTTAAATACTAAATAAAAGCAAATTCACATTTAAGGACACAAGTAGGTATCATTACATTAACAACATGAATGCTTCATTAACTGAGAATTTCCTTTAGAAGATTCATTTCAAATACCCTTTTAAAGTATTATTTCAGCAAACTAAATCTTTCTACTATTGTAGATACATTAAAAATAATGGCGGATACTCTTGGCTCAGGAGAAAATGAAAAATAAATTAAATGAAATATTCTGGGCATTATGTTCACACAAAATCATTCCTATAGGAGACTATTGCCATAATTATACTGATATTTTTAAAAAGTCACATTCTGGTAATACAGTTGATGTCGTTTTCTAAATTCTGACTGGATAATTAAAAATCTGAGGCCCAGTAGGAAAAGAGAACTTGTATATGCATTAGCTGGTGCTACAGCCATATGAAAAAAGTCACAATTTCAATGATACAATATACAGTAATTTAATTTCTTAGAGAACTGTAGTATATAAAGCTGGTTTGCTATGCTAAACAATTGACATATCTTTACTTGCATGCTTTCTTTACCTTGTAATTCTAATTATGGCATGATGTGTAATGTAAGAGTCAAGTTCACTTGATTATGAATCTGGGAGTTGCAGGAGAAACACAACAAAACTAAGTACAAAAAAGCTTATAGATGAAAATTCTAGTACCTTCCACATGGATAGAACCTGGGTAACAATAGTCAAAGCAGAATTAAGAACAAATTCAACCTTAACTATAGCAGTCAACACATTGCTATTTCTGGGATTAGCAGTGTTCTCTTTATGTTGATACTGATGTAACTGGGTTTATGCAGGGAAACTGGCTGTACAATTCTTGCTAATTAAGTGGAAATCAAGGAAATGTTCTTACTGCTGTAAGGGATCACTCCTATTGTCCATGTGAAAGCAAACTTCCTATTAAATGAAGTGGGAATTTGTCTGAAAAGACTTCACAATGGACTTTAATGTACTTTCATGCAGGGGTTGAACTGGAAAAAGAATGTTCATGGTAATCTTCCAAACTTCTCCCACTTGAGGTACCGAAATAAGACACTATTCTCAGTAGTTGGCATAGTTGTTCAAAGCAGGATCATGCCATGAATGATCTCTGAGCTTGGCTCACCCTGACTAGGGTCCAAATATACCCATGACCTCTGCATGGCTCCTTGGGCTTGGCTTCCCCTCAGTGTAGCACAAAGGCCTAGGTGGGCTCCTTGGGCTTGGCGGCTTCTTGACTGGGGAGAAAAAGTAAGTGGTGGTATTCTTTCCTGCATCCATTCATTCATGACACCAAAATGAACAGTCTTTCAGAGCAGACTGTGTAGACCTTCTTTATATGATGCTACCTTTTCTTTCTTACACACTTCGATGAGCAGTTGGATTCTTTCCAACCATATCAGCTAGAAACTTACTCTATTTTTCTCAAAATGAAAGCTGGGATTCTAGAGAAGAAGGCAGCTGTGGGAACTGCTGGAAATGCTGTTTCATCACATCCCATTGAAATTCTACAATATTATATCACTCACTATTGAAAACGTATCTGCCATACTGTAAAAGAAACTGCCAACAATGGCTCTTAAAAATCTCTTCCTTTTTTGTGTTAAAAATGGCTTCTTCTACCAAAAAAAAAAAAAAAAAAAGACCACAGTGCTGAAGAACAGAAAAGAGTAATTCTGAATGACCTTTCTTGACATTCAATTCCTGCCCCTGCACACATGGCCATATGTCAACGTAAACAGGGTATCTTGAAAGATCTATTGTGCTTTTGTGTCAGTGTGTGCTCTAGCTGATTTAACAAGGTTATGTTTTTACTCCAAAAACAGAGAAGTACTCCGTGATAACATTCACTATTGCTATTGACAATAGTGAATTTGTCAATATTGCAATATTGTAATATTGCTATTACAAGGTGGGTGTTCCCAATAGACAGAGATGGGCAGCAGTATAAAACCCTAAGACAGACAGCATGAGCAATATCAATTTGAGGTAAACACAATTAGCAACAATATATATTTTATGCAGACACTGTACACAACCTGTATGATGAAATGTCTTCGTGATTCAGGATTGCATTAGTTGCTAAAATCCCCCTTGTTGAATCAATCAGGAATGTTTTGTTTTCATTACCAGATAAAATTGAATACTCAATTTCTCCATTTAGCCCACTGTCAAGGTCAGCTGCAAAAATCTGTTTGGGAAGAAGATCCATGCTTAATCTCAGATAACAAACTGCAATTTCAAAAAGCAAAGTGTTACATCACATATATCTGTTTCTGCCAGTTAGCTGCATTTTGGCCACACAGATTAAAAGGGACAATCAAATAGTTTAGGCCCCAAATTTTGTGGATTAGCCCAGGGGAAGTTACCAAGCCCACGATGAATGGAAATATTTTTACAAAATGAAAAACAACTCAATTTTCTTCTATTAATACATTCTGCTGCAGAACTGAAATTTCAAACAATAAAGCAAGAGGTGGCTGAGTTGATCTGTTCTTATGTATTTGATTATTTCTATGCTGCTGCGTGGTTACTATGGGTATGTCTACACTGTGAAATTAGGTCGATTTTATAGAAGTCTATTTTTAGAAATCGATTTTATACAGTCGATTGTGTATGTCCCCACTAAGCGCATTAAGTCGGCGGAATGCGTCCTCACTACCGTGGCTAGCATCTAATCATGGAGCGGTGCACTGTGGGAAGCTATCCCACAGTTCCCGCAGTCTCCGCTGCCCATTGGAATTCTGGGTTAAGCTCCCAATGCCTGATGGGGCAAAAACATTGTCACTGGTGGTTTTGGGTGCATGTCGTCAGTCTCCCTTCCCTCCCTCTGTGAAAGCAACTGCAGACAATCATTTTGAGGCCTTTTTTCCGGGGTTACCCATGCAGACGCCATAGCAAGGCAAGCATGGAGCCCGCTCAGCTCACCACTGCTGTTGCGTGCATTGTAAATACCTTGTGCATTATACTGCAGTATGTGCAGAACCTGGCTAAGAGATGGCAGCACGAGGACGATTATGAGGAGGACATGGACAGAGACATTCCTGAAAGCATGGGCTGTGGCAATTGGGACATAATGGTGGCAGTGGGGTTGGATGATACAGTGGAACGCCGATTCTGGGCTCGGCAAACAAGCACAGACTGGTGGGACCGCATAGTCTTGCAGGTATGGGATGATTCCCAGTGGCTGCGAAACTTTCGCGTGCATAAGGCCACTTTCCTGGAACTCTGTGAGTTTCTTTTCCCCACCCTGAAGCGCAGGAATACCAAGATGAGAGCTGCCCTGGCAGTTGAGAAGTGAGTGGCAATAGTCTTGTGGAAGCTTGCAATGCCTGACTGCTCCCGGTCAGTCGGGAATCAATTTGGAGTGGGCAAATCTACTGTGGGGACTGCTGTGATTCAAGTAGCCAATGCAATCACTGATGTTCTGCTATCACGGGTAGTTACTCTGGGAAATGTGCAGGTCATAGTGGATGGCTTTGCTGCAATGGGGTTCCCTAACTGTGGTGGGGCAACAGATGGAACGCATATGCCTATCTTGGCACCGGACCACCTTGCCAACCAGTACGTAAACCGCAAGGGATACTTCTCAATGGTGCTGCAAGCACTGGTGGATCACAAGGAACGTTTCACCTACATCAACAAGGGATGGCTGGGAAAGGTGCATGACGTTCGCATCTTTAGGAACTCTGGGCTGTTTGAGCAGCTGCAAGAAGGGACTTCTTCCCAGACCAGAAAATTGCCGTTGGGGATGTTGAAATGCCTACAGTTATCCTTGGAAACCCAGCCTACCCCTTGCACCCATGGCTCATGAAGCCATACACAGGCAGCCTGGACAGTAGCAAGGAGCAGTTCAACTATGGGCTGAGCAAGTGCAGAATGGTGCTAGAATGTGCCTTTGGACATCTAAAAGCTTGCTGGCGCTGTTTGCTGACTAGATTAGATCTCAGTGCAACCAATATTCCCATTGTTATTACTGCTTGCTGTGTGCTCCATAATATCTGTGAGAGTAAGGGGAAGATATTTATGGCAGGGTAGGAGGTTGAGGCAAATCACCTGGCTGTCAATTTTGAACAGCCAGACACCAGGGCGATTAGAAGAGTACAGGAAGGTGCGCTGCACATCAGAGAGTCTTTGAAAACCAGTTTCATGACTGGCCAGTCTACGGTGTGACAGTTGTGTGTGTTTCTCCTTGATCCAGACCCGCCCCTTTTGTTGATTTTAATTCCCTGTAAGCCAACCACCCTCCCCCCTTCAATCACAGCTGGTAAAGAAAATAAAGTCACTATTGTTGTGAAACCATGCATTACTGTAGCCACACTACAAATCAAAACTGTTTGAATGACAGCCTTCTGTTGCTTGGGCCATCCTCTGGGGTGGAGTGGCTGGGTGCCCGGAGCCTCCCCACTCCCGTGTTCTTGGGCGTCTGGGTGAGGAGAATATGGAACTTCGGGAGGAGGGCAGGCGGTTGTACAGTGGTTGCAGTGGCGGTCTGTGCTCTTGTTGGCTTTCCTGCAGCTCCACCAGATGCCTGAGCATGTCCGTTTGCTCCCCCATTAGCCTCAGCATCCTCCCTCTTCTCATCGTGCTCACTTCATGCTTTCTTGGACTCTGCCACTGAATGCTACCATGCATTCAGCTGTGCCCAATCAGTGCAGGAGGACTGCATGAGTTTGGAAAACATGTCATCGAGAGTGCGGTTTTTTTTGCCCTCTAATCTGTGATAACCTCAGGGACGGAGATGATAGGGGGAGTATAGAAATATTTGCATCTACAGGTGGATAAAAAGGGAGTGTAAAATTTAAGATGATACGTTTCTGAGAACAAAAGGGAGACTCTTTCACAGTGAATCAAGCAATTCACAGCAGACAGCACATGTGCTTTGGGTACAAGGTCGCATTTTGCCTTTTATATTGAGTGCCTGTCGGTATGGTGACACATCACACACAGCTGGGCAACAGAATTCAGTTTCCAGGCAGCCATGGTAAGCCAAAGGGTACTGGCTTCTATTGCCTTCATAACATGTGGAAATGGTTTCAAACTGCTGTGTCCTCCTTTCCTATAGCAAGCAATGCTGGTTAGGTTTGCCATCTAAAAGGAGGAGCTGCGGTTTTCGGGTGGATGTGCAGCACACAGCTTCCCCCCACCCCTCCGCATGGCTATTTGGGATGATCCCTTCACCCCTCCCCCCACTGCATGGCTATGGGATGATTCCTTTTAGCCAAGCGCAAACAGCCCAGCATGAACAGTGTCCTTTTACTGTTCCCTTACAAAAGTTCCCCTATTTCAACCAGGTGATCATGAATTATATTACTCTCCTGAGGCTAACACAGAAAGATAAAGACTGAATGTTGCTTGAATGCGACCAAAACCCAGGACCATTCGCTGCCAAGCTTTGTGCTGCAATGATTCCAGACTACTTGCTACTGGCTTGGTGTGGTTAAAGTGTCCTACTTTGGAGGACCAAATAAAGCAGCCTTCCCCAGAAACCTTCTGCAAAGTCTCTCAGAGTACCTCCAGGAGAGCTTCATGGAGATGTCCCTAGAGGATTCTCGCTCCATCCCCAGACATGTTAACAGACTGTTCCAGTAGCTGTACTGGCCGCGAATGCATCCCGAGTCTTCGGGGAAAATCGAACATTAAACACTATTGCTTTTAAACCCTGTAGTGTAGTTACAAATGTGCACTCACCAGAGGTGCCTTCTCCGCCGTCAGGGTCGGGGATCCTGCCTTGGGAAGGTATTGACTCCAGGGTGATGAAAAGGTCCTGGCTGCCAGGGAGAACGGATTCACCACTTGCCTGCTGCACATTCTCCTCCTCCTCCTCATCCACAAAATCCTCCTCCCTGTTGTGTGAGACTCCCCCCTTGAAGGTGTCCATGGACAGTGGTGGGGTAGTGGTAGGGTCTCCCCCTAGAATGCCATGCAGCTGATCATAGAAGCGGCATGTCTGGGGCTCTGACCCGGAGCGACCATTTGCCTCCTTTGTCTTTTGGTAGGCTTGCCTGAGCTCCTTCACTTTCACGTGGCACTGCTGTGTGTCCCTGTTGTAGCCTCTCTCCAACATGCCCTGTGCGATTTTGGCATATATATTAGCATTTCTTCTTTTTGATCAGAGTTCTGCCTGCACAGAGTCTTCTCCCCATACAGCAAGCAGATCCAGTGTCTCCCGTTCGCTCCATGCTGGAGCTCATTTGCGATTCTGGGAAGACTGCATGGTCACCTGTGCTGCTGAGCTCGCCAGGCTGACCAAATAGGAAATTAAATCCAAAAGTTCCTGGGGCTTTTTGTGTGTACCTGGCTGGTGCATCGGAGTTGAAAGTGCTGTCCAGAGCGGTCACATTGGAGCACTCTGGGATAGCTCCCGGAGGCCAATAACGTCGATTTGTGTCAACACTACCCCAAATTCGACCTAGCAAGGTCGATTTTAGAGCTACTCCCCTTGCTGGGGAGGAGTACAGAAGTCGATTTTAAGAGCCCTTTAGGTCGACGGAACGGGGTTGCTTGTGTAGACGCATTCATTATAAAATCGACCGAACGCGGCTAAATCAACCTAACCCTGTAGTGTAGACCAGGGCTATTAGTAGATTGTCAGTCTCTGTTACGTGTGTGTACAGTCACTAGCACAATAGGGTCCTGAGCCCTGGTCAGGAGACCCTAAGCGCTATTACAAATAAATGAAATAATAATTATTAATGCTTAAGGCATCTTTCTGTAGGCTATTATGAATTATTGTTTAAATCTAAAGGAATAAAGAATAGTGGAAAAGGAGCAGAAATAGAATATAAAACTAGCTGAATAACCAATGTTCGGCACCAGGAAAAGATACCAGTCCAGGATTCTCAAGATAGAGAACATTTCCCCAGCCTCCTTGAAGAGTCCTCACTGGTTCTTTTTCCTACTGTTAAGCACGAGACACACTTTACAGGATCCAGATTATTCCAGACACATTTGATTGCTTTGTCATTTTTTTTTCCATTAGCAGACATATGTTTCTCTAAACAAATGTATGCTCATCCAACTCCCTAGTGGCTTCACATTCAGGGCAGTTGTTGCATTCCATTTATTTATTCTCAGAGGAGGAACATCTTCAGGTCCTAACATGACCTTCATTCTGACGTACCTTGCAATGGGAGAAATGGGAGGGGAAGCGTGGAGAAAACTGTTCTCCTTTCTACTCCAAATAATGCCCCTCTTTTGCTCCAACATAGATATAGCGCATGAACAGCTGGAAACAAACTGGAACAGCTGGAAACACTTTTGAAGAATGTTCAGAGGAAGGAGCATTTTCACACATACAATAAGATGAGTTACTCTTTCAGCAGCAGATTTAAAATCAGATGCTTAGATCTGACAAAAGGATTTTACTCCTGACTGGAGCTGAATGGATTAATTTTAAAGTGACAAACTCTAGAGACACTGCTGGGAGCAAGAATCTATCTATGCTGAAATATGAACTAGCCTTGAACAATCATTCTCTGACTACCATTCATGAGCAAGAATTGCTTTTTGTTAGAAGCAGAGGAAGACAACAAGAAAGTTGAATTTAGTTTCTATTTCTACTATCAGTCAGAAGCTAAAGGATATTGGCCTAATTTGATAAAAACTAAACTGAACGGTGAGCTCTAATGCAGCCAAAATAATTATAAATTTTAGGTTTCCAGGCAAGGCAGTAGCAACATTAAAGAAGACATATGCATCTTGAACAGGGGGAAGCCCAATGAATACACTGCTGGACTGTGGCCTAAGTTTGGCTATTCTTAATTCTAACTGCAGAAATAGGTTTGTAAATATGTATTCCCCGTTACCTGCATGACATATGTATTGTAGATTTGGCCTTCCCACACCGATGTTTTGTAAGAGCTTTGCTCAAATTTAGGTGCATTATCATTCACATCTTGCACCCAAACTGTCACTCCACAGTGTGCTGAATTCAAGCCATTTTCAGCCAAAACAACGAGATGCACTTTACTCTTGACTTCATGGTCAAGAAACTTTGGCTCTTTCACTGTGAGTTCACCTGTTTTATTTTCCAAAAAGAATTTAAAGGAGGACAGGTTATATACATATTTAGGAAAAATAAACTGTTAAAAGTGAGGACACATACTGTGCAATAAAGAAAACAATAACTGTTCAATATATCCAATAAAAGAATACAAAGGAAAATATATGTATAACTAAAGGAAGAAACTACAACACAAATGTAGATCTAAAATGTTATTGCCAAGATTTTCAAACAAGGGTGATTAATGTTAATCTTCTAAATAATTAGGCTAAGTGAGTGCCATTTCATTCCAGGGTGGTTACTCCAAAATAAAAAACATTTCAGAAGGCAATCTAGGTGGAAAACTATTGGATTTTTTTGGTGGCTACAATCCCCTAATTTACCTGGGTTCTGCCACTGGTTCTATATTTCTTATTACAAAAGCATATTTTAATAATGCCTTATAAAAAGTTCCCAAATGTTTATTTAATATATATTAAATAAGACAGTTGTATGTTAATAACTCATGATTAAAAACAAGCTTAAGGTTTAACTAAGCTGTAGATACGTGTCTTGTAAATAGTTAGTCAGAAGGAAGTAAGTTTTTAACAGTCAACTGATAGTCATTTAATACACAGCAAAGGTCTTATTAAATCTCTGGCATACCACGGAGGGAAAAATTTCCGGCGACTGTGCTTGTGGTGCACACACACCTACAATGGAATGGATGTGCACAACACGTCTTGAAGAACAACAGTTACGGAAATGTTAGTAATCGTTTTATTTCAAGGCCTGTCAGGATCTTTTGCAGCTTGTGGCTGCTGCCCTGGGCATTCTGGCCGAGTTCCTGCAGGAGAATACCCACAAGTTGTTTGCTCTGGTGCACTCTGGTGCTGTGCGCACATAGCGCCAGTATATAGGGCCAAGCGAACCCCGTGCCCCCTCAGTTCCTTCTTACCTTCACTCAAAGAAGAGCCTTAGATACTGAAGGAGAAGAGGAGCCAGGCCGTGCCAAATTGTCCTGGGATTAAGAATATTCAGTTAACTGCACCAAGGCTGGCTCCTGCTCCTGGACAGGTGGAGCTGGAAGAGGCAGCATGATAGGTAGCTGACGGTGCCGAAGTGGAGGGCAGTGAGAGCCACCACAGTAACATTGGCAATGCTGAATGCAACAGGGCCAAGGATCTTCCTGGTGCTAAGAAGGTCCCTTGCATCAAGCCTGGCACTGGACCTGCTTCCACAGATTATGGAAAGGGAACATCAGGGTACAGTGCTGATGGACACAAAGGTTCAGCAGCTTGACCAGCCAACAGGGCTATAAATGATGTAATCCTGGCAAAGTCCTGGACCAAGGGAAAGATTGAGCTGGACAGGCAGGGGTGATCCATAGCTGCCTGGTATGCTGCCAGCATGCAAACAGCCGATGCCGACATCACCCTCATTGGTACTGGACTCAAAGGATGTCCTGGGGCCAGAACCGGGGCTCTAACCAACCTGTGTCCTACCATGGAACAGTTAGAGGCACCTGCGCCAGCCCATGCATCAGCACTAGCATCTCCTGAAGGAGGCAGAGGACTCCGCACAAGACCTGGAGTGGTCTTGCTTGGTCTTATGGGACCTTTTCCCCAGTGCACTTGATGAGGAACAGCTCCTCCACCTCTTCAAAGAGGCAGCTCCAGAGCATGAAACAGCAACACTCTCAGAACCTGAGAGTGATCGCCAATCTGATGAGGGCCTCGGTGCTGAAGCAGGCCACATGGCTTGGTTGAGCATGTGCTACTTCAGGAGAAGGTCCTAGCCACCAGAGTCTGTTTTGTGAACAATCTACAAACTGCACACCGCTCTTTGAGATGGGTCTTACGCTGCAAAGCAAACACTGCAACTGGGGATCGTTGCTGGGATTGCTCCCCCACATGACGGACAATGGTGAGAGCATCACAGGGGAATATTTAATTAAATGCAACTAACACTAAATCTAACTAACCCTTAGGGTACTACTAAACATATACAACTAGAAAAAGTCATTAAGAAATAGTGAAAAATTGCGAGATTAAGAGCCCCAACTCCAGCCATGGAAGGTAACAAGGAACTGAGGGGGCCTGGGGTGGCACCACCTCATACAGGCAGGGGAGGGGCTCTAGCCATGAGGTGCGAGCACCACCCCTCTACAGGTACTGCTAGCAAAATTCTCTGGCTCTGGTGCGGTGGGTACACACACCCCTAAGTGAAATACACAGCTGCATATACTTGAAGAACAGAAGAGTTTTAAAGAGGAATACTCTTGGGCATGATTTTCCTCTCACAAGAATTTTACAAGTATGTAACTCCACTGATGTCAATGACATTACTAATGATTTACCCTATGATAAGAGGAGAATCAGGCCATGTATTCTAGGTTAACTGTAGACAAAAGGCATGTGTATATCTATGACATATAAAAATGGTTCTTATGGCAACAGATGTTTGTTACACTTAACTGCCTATCACCCACTTCTACTAGTTTTTGATTTAAACTAACATCATTAATGAAAATGTTTTGGTATAAAAGCAATCCCAACATGGAAACACTTTGTACATAATTTAATGTTTATTCAGATATCAAAAGCCTTAAACATGCCTTTAAAACAAATTTAAATAAATTAATTTACCTGTGATGGGGTGTATCGAGAAAATATCTTCATTGTCACTGAATAGCCTGTATTTTATGCCTTTTCCCAGTAAATTATCATCATAAGCTTCTACAGTCAAAAGTGAGGTTCCTACAGAAGTATCAATAGTTTTTAATAGAGTCAACTTTGCAAGATCTTATCTTATCTTTATTACTTATAGATTTACTGTGATTAATAACAATGCATGCAAAGGTGCCCATCTGCCACTCTGGGTGCTTTTAACATTATTTAAAATAGCACACAACAAAAACAAAACCAGCAACAACCACTCAACAAAACTCCACCCACATCACAACTTAATAGACAGGAACTTCCCCACCAACCTCCATTGCCCCATCAACAAACACTCTTGTTGAGCCCCAACATCTGCTGCTCCCTTGGCAAAATGATGGATTTTGCAGCATGCTCTAAAGGTCAACAATCCTTGATCCTTGCTCTCTGCACACCTCCACTGGCTTGATGGCTAGACCTTATTACAGAGACACTATTTATGGAACTCCCTCCCTGAGGCTGTCTACAGGAATCTATCTCTGGCTGTATTCAAGGCTTGGTGTAGGTCCTTCCTACACAAGTTTCTCCATCTTTGGTCATTTTACCCTCATCCTTTCACAAACTCTTTGGGGCAGGAGCGGGCGAAGAGGGGCTTTTATGAGGTTATTAAGCATGACTGATATCTCTGAGCAACTGGGAAGGGATTATTTAATTTTCGTTTACTTATGTACAGTAGCCCAGAGTTTTGTAATGGTGGACATTTTAATTCTAAATGAATACATCAATCAATCTTAAGTAGACACAATCTGAATACAACTCACAATAGCTTTTAGTGCCGTAACAGGGTGCATAGAGATATGCAATATGGTGTTAGCATCAAAGAAAATAAGGGCATTTTATTGTTCATGAAGAATCTTAAATTCAACGAAAACAGTACTGATCTGACACAGCACAGAAAAGGCATGAAATAAAAATGCTGTTTGCAATAGGAGCAGAAAATACATATGAAATTGAATGTATTATCCTGCTCAGAAGCATCATGCTCAACATAAACTGAGACAAAGTTCAAAAAACATTATCAAGATTTCCAAATGGTTGTTCTTCTCAAGCCAGTTATGAAGCCATTTAGCACACGGCAATTGATTTTAACCAACTGTCATGGAATCAGACTACTGTGTAACTTGACCTCTTCCAAATGGCATTATAAGCTTACATTATTTTACTACATTACAGGAGGCATGCTGTTAATATAAAATGTCCTAGATTTTGGGCGGGACTGTGCCATCACAGTATAATTTACCTTTAACTACAAAAATCACACGCTTAGTACTTGTTACTGTTTTTTTTTTAAACACAGGAAATGTTATGTTAACTGGTTAGTCATTTGCTCTTAAGCATGGCAACATAAACCAGAAACACTTGTGGGGGAAATATGTCCATTGTGGCTTCTGAACTTTTTACATTACTTAGGACACTTGTAGGACCAATCACAAAAGAAAACACATATATGATTTGTATGTGTGTAAGGCTAAAGGTGAGAATGAGAAATGCATTGTTTCTAGAAATTAAACATAGGCCCCTTTTTGGATCACAGGGACAGCTAGTCCCACGTTCACAACTGTACAATTTTTATTCAATCCAGCAGCCAACATTTACCATTGTTCACAGCATCCAGTGTCTGAAGGACACGTCCCTATGTCCTGTGTTCACAACATCCTCTGCCTGATTTTTGAAAGGAGCAAGAGAAAAAAATGCCAAAAAAAAAAAAATGGCTGCATCAGTATTACCATTTGATACATTGTTTTTCCGGGTATAACAACTGGGTCAATCAAATCCCTGCTCTGGGTCTACCAATTTCCAGCCCAGACGCCTTTTTTTAATGCTGTTAAAACTGTCAATACCTTTTTTGGTAGAGGGCAAAGAAGTGGCATTTCTGTGGTTTCTGATGCTTTTTGGCCACACTGTGATAGTAATATGGCTTGCATTTAAACAACAAAATGTTGCAGTTTCCGTACAGTTCATTTTCACTTTGGATAGTGTCTTTTGGTATCTTAAATTGATGAGGCCAAATCTTGAAGTCCCGAATGAGGTAAAACTAGATGTACAGCAAAAAGCAGTCTCTGTCTCAAAGAGCTACAATTCTAAACTTACTTGACTCTGTCCATTGTGCATAGGTACTGCCTCAAATAAGGGACACAATATCCAACTGCGTCTGAAACTTCCAAACCAGTCAAGCATAACAGGGCAAGGCAAGGCAGTGGCCAGTGCCTTAACTTAGAATTTCCCTGCTTTGTCTGTTAAATCAGAAGCATCTTAACATTATGTTAAATTACCTCAACCTGTACTAAACAACCAAGTACCTGAAATGCACAGTTTGTATAGTATGTGTGCTTTTTCTAAAGAACAGGAGTCAAAACAGACATAAAAACCCTGGGTCATATTCTGGCTTGAGACACACATGCACAACTCAGAACTGATCTACTGCTACAGTCCAAGTCACTGGGAGACCTGTGTTTATCCATGAAACAATAACATATACCCATATTGTTTTCTTTCCTTTCTCCTCTCTTTTGTAATCTGGACATTGGAACCAGGGATGCCACTTTTTCCTCTAAATTTGTCTGACTTTTGCCTTTGTGTTTGAGGATAGATTTCTTGGGTGGATAATAAAGAAAAGGCTCATGGAGCACAGAGAATAAAAGAGGGGTAAATAAATGTCCAGCCCAGGTACCTTATATGTATTCAAAAATAATAAAAGAATCCTGCAGACCTAGCAGCTGTGACTGTTTTATTGGGGAATCTGACACCCAGAGGGCTCTATACAAACTATAATTCAACTGGAGGCAGACATGGTGAACAATGAAAAGGTTTTTTGCACTTTACGGAGTGCATTGACTTGATTATTTATTAATTGACTTCTAAAAGTGCCTGTTGCGATACAGTGTATAAAATATTTAATATGATGCAAAACTAAACTAGGGGAATAATATGAAGGTCACCAAACGTGGGTCCAAACATTTTAGTTGAAGAAATCCTGAGGTTTTTACCTAAGTAAGAGTTTGTCTGGATAACTACTGAGTAAAAACTGAGCAAGGATATCAGGCTTCACTGTTGATATTGCTTTGATTCTTGTCTAACTACAGTGAAGTTTTGCCACTGCGTGGTTGAAAATGGAACTAACACGTATGAGATAAAATGTTATTTGTTAATCCTGATTACATTAATATTGAATTTTATAATGTAAATACTTCCATGGGACTGGGTGGGAGAGTAAGTATTATTCATATGGAGTAAGGGTTTTAGAATCAGAACTGTAGCTAGCATACCAAATCCTTTAGAGGGTTTAATTATAGTCATAACTTTTTCTGACAAAGAAAATTAAATTAGTATGTTTTTGTATTTATTGAAATCACATAAAATAATTCGAAGAGAAACAGAACTATTACTTGATAGGAGCATCTCATAAAAGAATACATAAAAGAACTTGCTCTTCCGTACCCTATAGTTTTCTTACTATACACAGTAAGCTTTCAGGCTGAAATCTTCTGATTTACCCTGAAGCTTCTTTAAACTTCCTTTAATCAAAATAATTTAAATTTACTGCTATTTATGTTTGCAATACATTTAGTGGGAGGCCATCTGACTATGGTATTCTCTTACCACAATTCCTTGGGGGATTTCCATAATTTGAGGCTGGGTTGCCTAACCTGTCCCATTACTATATCTGTAATTAGGCACATGCAGAATCACAAAAGCTTATCCATTACTGAAAGGATATTTTGATTTTCTTTCTTTAAATGTATACAGGTTAAACAAACAATGCAGTACCAACAATAATACAAAAAACTGAGATCCCCACAAGGCACTCTTCCACAACCGTATGGAAAAACCTGACTAACTGGGCTCCTGCAACACACCCTGAAGGTCATCAGGCCTTGACAGCCACTGAAGAAAAGTGCTATGTAAGAGCTATTATTAATTAATTAATTTATTTATTACTGGGCCAAAGCAGCAGCAAAATCAAGAGTCCAGGACCCTCCACTGAGAACGTCTTGCCCTCACTACCCCATAATGTATAATTCTAGGGACCATCAGTTAAAATGTCACAGCTGAATTCACAACTGTTTGGTTAAAGCATGGAAGAAGAGGTGGGGCCAGATAAAAACAAACAAGCAAAACCAAAAAATCCTAGACTCCAGGAAATGAGAATCGTATCTTCCAGCTGCTGTGATGACACAGGGGACAGCCCTCCCCCCCCCCCCCCCCCTTGGGGACAGGGATAGTATTAATTCTTGTCCTGTGCTCTGCAGGAACACATCCAGTGGAACGTCTTATGGGCTACTCTGATCAGTTTACAGCAGCTCCCAGCAGGTCAAAACTGTGACTTCGCTGCACTAACCCAAACTTTCCCCCCAGCGACTTTATTCCACTACAGCCTGAAAGCACCAATGGTGGCAGAGACTGCAGTGAATCTGGCTTTTATCTATAGGGGTCATTTAACAATGTGGGCTTTTATCTACTGCTTGTCCCTTGTAGACATCTACCAATTTCACAATGTCTTGTTAAGTAAGAATGTATTTCAGCCTCTGTGCATTCCCCGCCTACTTCTACACATTCTTTTAGCAAGTTGAAACTGTGAGGAAAGTGTTGGAAAATCTCTGAATGCAGTTACAATACACTAGGGATTTCGCTAAAGCCAAAAATCATACATCGCAACAGACATGTGGAAGTAGTTCTCATCTTATCTGAGCTTTCACTGCATTTATTTAAGTGAACTATTAGTGACATATTATGTAATCAGTCTCGTTTGGGTACACACGCACACACACACACACATCTGCGCAAGCACACACAGAGACAGATACATTTTGCCTTTATTCCAAGGAGATGCATGTTGGCAAGGAAAACTGCAGAGGATAAAAATTGTGCATGCATCATTACAGCCACTTTGCAGATACAGAGCAGAGATGCTCAAGGGTTGTCCATGGTGAGGGAGGAACATGCAGTGCAGAATCTCTTTCTTCTCTTTGAAAAAGGAGAATCCTGCCTAACATGAGTGGCACTCTGTTGTATGTGTGCAGGGACCAGAAACCCGACTACGCCTCTGAGACAGCACATCATGCTCCCCTTTGGTCCAGGGTGCACTGGGCAGGGAGAAGGTTTTTTTCCTTAACGTACTGTTTGCATATAGTCCAATTCCAGTTTTACCCTGATGCTGCATGTTATTGAAAAAGGCTCCCTACACACTTCATCCTCAATAGTGCCCAACAGGTTAGGACTTTGGTCTCTGACAGCCACGAGTTAGAGTCTGATACCCACCTGCTTCACTGTTTTCAGGCACAGTTACTGCATAAAAACTATGGCTGAATGACATCACCTCCTCTTGTTCCCTTGTGGAAATGGCCAATAGAGCTGTGGCTGTCCTACCTGGGACACCCTGATCTGAAGCCAATACCAGCAGGTGGGAACTGAAACCATCAGAAGGCAATGGCTCTTGAAGATAAATCTCTCCTGTATTGATGTCAATACGGAACATAGTTCCAGGTACTCCAAAATTAAAAACCACTGCACCATTTGGCCCCAGATCCACGTCTGCAGCTCTCACAGTGGCTATTGTCTGATTCACAGAAGTTTCAGGAGGCACATAAACTTTGAAAGGGTTCTGTAGAAAAACGGGACTATTGTCATTGGCATCATCAATGTGCACCATAATGTTAACTGTAGTGCTTCTTGGGCCTTGGATGCTACAGTCACTTGCCACTGCTCTAAATGCATACTGAGATTTAGTCTCCCGGTCTAGTGCTTTCGTAGTAACTATAGCGCCAGTTGTACTGTTAACAGTAAATGCTCCAAGGGTGTCATCAATCAGTGAATACATGACCTCACCATTCAGGCCACCATCTTCATCTGAAGCAAAGAGCTCAAGAACTACTGATCCTTCCTTAAGGTCTTCTGTCACAGAGGTCTGATAGTTCTTCTTTGCAAATACAGGGCTGTTGTCATTTTCATCCAGGACTGTAATCTGTAGCTGTGTTGTTGAGCTTCTTGGTGGGCTGCCCAGGTCATGACATGCAATAATGAGGGTAAAGTTGCTGGCATCCTCCCTGTCTAAACTACGAGTGGCCAAGAGTTCTCCTGAAGTATCATTTAGAGTGAAGTATTCTCCAATATTTCCACCTTTAAAATACGATAAAAATAAAACGATCACAAACAATTCCAATTTGAAAAAACCCTTTGCTAGTACCATTATGTTAATTGTAATAACATGATCCTATTGCTAGTACAGCTGGTGCACTCATGTGCCTTTGGCATATTTTCCTCCTTTTATAAAAATTAAAACCTGCACTTCATTTAAATCAGTGGGTGGCAGTGACAGTAAATCCAGAATGTCATATCCTTTTACAGAACAGCTATTTTGCCAGATGCATGTCTTTTTTCCCCAAATCAACACACCTTATAAAATCTAGCGCAACTATACTGCTGCACAAAGTGAACTCTTCCCAACCTTGGCTACAAATTCCAGAAACCCATAAAGCATTGCTGACAACAAATATGGTTATTTGCCCCTTGCTTTCATCTACAAACCTGTCTCTTAGAAGTGAGCAATAATGAGGTCTTTTCCACTTTTTTCATTTTGAAAGCTACTATTAAATATCTGGAGCAATGGATTTTAGAAAGAATTCATAATGTTTTTTGTTAAAAGTGACCGGAATAAGTATATTTCAATAGATCAAGATAATTTTCAAATTAAAAGCATAAAAATCAGATGACTCTATAGCCCTTTCTACATAGTGGGAGTAAAGCAGGGATAATCAGCAGTTATCAGTGTTGCCATCAATTTATTTTTGTAATACTGCAGAGGGCCCCAAATCAAGGTAAACAGTGTCTTGCCATTTTTGGGGTGAGGGTGGTGCAGGAAGGTTTTAAATAGTTGGGCAGAGACTGTGTTGGAGTTTCTTGGCATGGTGCACTTGGGGATGGTTTGGCAACTTGGAAGACCGGTTGGAGGATTTTATTATTGGTGGATGAAAGAAACTTTCATCACCTGGAAGGTGGACTTGGTATCTATCCACACCTATTTTTAAAGTGAAAAGAGGATTGGGTTGGGGGCCCTTATTTGATATGGGGAGGCTGAAGAGAGAATCATAAAAAGGTTGAAAAGATATTCGTTTAGTTTTAGATTAACTGTTACTTACAGTCACTGTGGTTCTTTGAGATGTGATGCAGACATCACACTGAGGTTTGTGTGCACCCAGAGCATTGGAGCCAGAGAAGTTTGCCTAGCAGTACCCATAAAGGGGTGGCGTTCATGCCTTGTGGCCATAGCCTCTCCCACGGCTATATGAGGAGGTGCCGCCCTGACCTCACTCAATTCCTTCACACCTAACGCCAAGAGACTAGTCTCCGATGCAGAGGGGATGGATCGTGGAATACACATTAGCGTCCCATCTCAAAGAACCACAATTAACATGCCCTTTTTTCTTCTTTGAGTATATGCAGTCATGTATACCACTTAGGTGAGTCACAAACAGAATCCACAGGAGGTGGGGTTCTGAGTCTACTTAAACACGGACTGCAGGAATGCCTTCCCAAAGTCTGCATCTGCTTTGGATGCCATGATAATGGCATAACGGTTCATATTGTACATATTGACAACCCCATGGCAGCCCTGCAATTATACAATGTTGAGACATCACTAAAGAATGCTATCGAAGTAGCTTGCACTCTCATAGAATAAACTCACACCCAGAGAGGGGGCGTAGCTGAAGCTGTGTCATATATAGTTTTGATGCAAGAAGTTATCCACTTAGAAAGTGTCTGTGAGGAGACTGCCTGCCCCTTCATACGACACAAACCGATGAGATATAGTCCTGTCCAAATAAAAGGCCGGACATTGTCTGATGTCCAATGTGTGAAGACACTGCTCCTCCGGAGATGAATTCGGCTTAGGAAAAACCTCAGGCAAATATATCACCTGGTTTAAATGAAATTGAGAGACCACTTTAGCCTCAAATTTTGGGTGTGGCCACATCACCGCTTTGTCTTTGGAGAACTGTGTGTAACGAAGCTCTGCCATAAAAGCCTGAAACTCACTCTCCTTGCAGATGTTATTGGCCGAGGAATGCACATTTTTGAGGAGAGGGACAAGATCCCAGAGGCTTGAACAGAGGTCCACTAAGACCATGTTATGGTTCCACCGGTGGATGGAGACAAAGAATTCACTTCAAGAATCTCACCACCATGGCACTCGAAAACACCGATCTTCCACAAACGATGGATAAACGGCTAAGATCTCCACTAGATGCACCCTCAAAGAGCTAAGCACAATGCCTGATGACTGAACTTGCAGTTCATCTTTTACAGCATGGGCTGTACTCCATGGGCCAATGACCACACTGAAAGACACTTCCATTTTCCAGAAAAGAACATCCTGGTAGAGGGTTATCTACTATTGATCAGGACCTGTTGACGGAGTCCAAACATTGCTCTTCCTCCTTGTTCAACCAGGAAGCAGTCAAGCTGTAAGATGCAAAGAGCTGAGCATGGGATAGGAAGTGCGACCAAGATTCTGTGTGAGCAGGTTGGGATGGAGAGAAAGGATATGGGAGACTGAACTGACAGTGCAAGAAGGTCAGAAAACCAGCACTGCCTTGGCCATGCCGGGGCAACGAGGATGGTGTTGGCCCAATCCACATTCAGCTTAAGGATGAATGATTGGGATCGGTGGAAAAAAGTGTACAGGAGAGCTGACTGCCAGTTGAGGTGAAAGGAATTGATCAGAGAGCTTGGACTGAGAACCTCTCAAGAGCAGGACAGATGACATTTCATGTTTTCCCTTATAGAGAACAGGTCAATCGTCAGGATGCCCCACGTTAAAAAGATGACTCGCAGGACACTTGGCTTCAGACACCACTTGTGATTAAGAGAAAAATTCCTGCTGAGATCGTCTGCAAGATCAGTCTGGACCTCGGGCAAGTGATCAGCTATTGGAATGATACAGTCTTCAGTGCACAACTGCCACAGCCTGATCGCCTCTTGGCAGAGCACCCTTGTGTGTGCTCCCCCTTGACTGTTCACATAATACATTGTGGTGATACTGTCTGTAAGCATGTGAAATACTGAACCCTTGACGCAGCCTAGGAAAACAAGATAGGCACTGTAGATGGCCCCAAACTCCAGGACATTGATATGCAGGGAAGCTTCCTGCTCTGACCACAGAGCCTGAAGCTTCCTGCTCTGACCACAGAGCCTGAACTTTCAGTGACCCCAGATGTAGAGCCCTGCCAATCTGCGGATATACATTTTAGATCCACAGATATCTGCATCCATGGACGATTTTTGCAGATCAGACGTGGATACAAATGTTATATCGGTGCAGTACTCTACCCAGATGTGCTCCCCAACTTATCAAGGAGGTGTCGGTGACAATAGTGCTGGTTGGTAAGGGCCAGGCGAAGGGAATGCCAGGCGAAGGGATTGACATACATTCCCGTGAACTGTCCACCTCTGCAAGGAGTCCAGGATCAAAGGAGGGAGGCGGACCAACCTGTCCGGGGGATGAGGGGTTCGATAGTAAACAGTTTTGAGCCACATCTGAAGAGGAAAAAGGTGCAACCTTGAAAACTGAACCACCTGTGCGTATACAGACATGTGGCTTAAGAACTGTGAACCGTTGTGGAAGATTGAGACTGCAGACTGAGAGAGAATTGTCTGGAAACAGTTGCTTGACAAAAATGCTCTTGGACTCATGCAGTCTATTAGGGCCCCAATAAACTCAATTTTCTGAGTTGCAACCGGTGTTGACTTTTTGGTGTTTTGGATGATACCCAGATGGTCAAGTAAGCATGGTGTTATCCATACATGAGCAAGAACTTGTTCTCTGGACCTGCCCCTTAGTAGCTTGTCATCCAGATATGGGAAGACATGGATTCCCTTCTTCCTGAGGTATGCCGTCACCACGACCATACATTTGGTAACAACTTGGGGGAGGGGGAGGGAGGGAGATCAGAAGACAGACTAAAAGGAACTGTGTACTGAAAATGGCAACTTGCCATGACGAACCAGAGAAGTCTTCTGTGGCTCAGTAGAATTGCCACATATAAGTAAGAGTCCTGAAGGTCAAGAGCAGCAAACCAGTCATTCTGAGTGAATGTGGGGAGGACAGCTGATAGGTGACCATATGGAACCTCTTGTATCTGATATATTTGTTAAGGTAGAGGAGTTCAAGATTAGGCCTTAAATCTCTCTTGGATTTGGGTACCAGGAATAGATGCCTTGACACCAGTGTTTTGGAGGAAATTCCTCCAGTACTCCCAAGGCCAATGAAGAGTGGATCAGCTTGATGAGCAGTATCTCATGAGGGGGACCTCGAAAAGGGACAGGAAGGGATGGTGAGGAGGAGGAGTGGAGAGAATCTAATTGGCAAAGACCAAACTGACAGTGCTTAGGACAATTGTAATCGATCCCCAAACATCATGAAAGTGAGCTAGCCTTTCGCTAAAAGGAGATGGGGGTAAAGGAAGTGATGACCAGACTGTTGTTCTGGATCAAGGAGTCAAAATGGGCATTTGGGGTGGGTGTCAGGGGATAGCGTTTTGACTGGCCGAACCCTGGACCTGATTGTCTTCTCCTCTGGGATCTATGCCCCTTTCTGGGGCAATCCCACTGTCTCAGGGGAGGAAAAGGCTGCCCAGAAGGTGTGTTGCAGGTGGTATTGTTGCTGCTTTTGGCCACCAAAGAAGTCTCTGAACTAGTGGTGTGTACAACCCCAAGGACCATAGGGTGGCCCTAGAATCCTTGAAGGAAGAGAGGGTTCCATCCATGTTGTGAGAAAATAACACCCTGCCACTGAAGGGCAAATCCTCTGCATGTTGGGTCTACAGTCAGGATGCCCTTCTTATGGTCACCAGAGAGGCCACAAGTCTGGCCAAAGCATCTGCTAAGTCCAGCATGGACTGCAATAACGTCTTGGCCACTCACCAGCTTTCGATGATAAACACCCAAACTTTCTCTCTACAAATTTCAGGCAGCTGGTCCACAAACTTAGACATAGCTGTCCAATTTATAAAGCTGTACCTGGACAATGATGCCTGCTGGTTTGTCATCTGCATTTGCAGGGAGGAGGAAATGTAAATCTTCCTGTCCATCCTTTTCAAGTCCTTGTCCTTAGGAGAGGACTTAAACCTGTCCTGCCAGACTCTATCATGCACTGCAGTTATGTCTAGGAAATATGGGGCCAGGTGCGAGTAAAAACCCTCAAATCCCTACACTGGGACAAAATAGCATTTCTCCATGTGCTTTGCAGTGGGCGGTATGGAAGCACGTGTGCTTCAAAGAAGGCTTTAGGATCCTATCATTGACAGGAAGGGCTATCTCCCAGGAGCAGAAGGCTGCAGGATCGCCAATAACTCTGCCTGAATGCCCAGGGAAGCAGCTACATGCTGTAAAAGGTCTGGAGAGTCCTTGAAATCTTCAGGTATTGGAGAGGAAGAGCCAGACACTGCTGAATCATCTGGGGATGAAGAAGAGTTGGTTAACTGTGCCAATGCTAAAAAAAAGGAGAACTTGTGGCACCTTAGAGACTAACAAATTTATTTGAGCATAAGCATTCGTGAGCTACAGCTCACTTCATCGGATGCATCCGAAGAAATGAGCTGTAGCTCACGAACGCTTATGCTCAAATAAATTTGTTAGTCTCTAAGGTGCCAGAAATACTCCTTTTCTTTTTGCGGCTACAGAATAACATGGCTGCTACTCTGAAAAATGCCAATGCTGGCTCCCATTCCTGGATTGGTGGAGCTGGAAGGAGTAGCTCCATGAGCTCTGCATGGGGAAGGCTCACTAGTGCCTGATCCTGCTGTGGGTCCACAGTTGCCACCACCAATCTGCCTGGCGATCTCTCCTTAGAGTGAGCTGAGAAGTGTGACCTCTCCAACCAAGGAGCGTCCCACGGATTCCACAGAGGACACTAGGCATAAGGATAAGGTATTGATGGACAGCAGGCACTGGGCCAAGGGCCCCTGTCCCAACGTGAGACAGGTGCCAATCCTCGTGCTCATAGTGCTCCATAAAGGGTCTACCCGATATGGGTCAGGTGATAGAAAGCAGGAGGAGGAAGATCGCGACCTCAACGCCGAGGAGCCTCAAGTTTCTGGGGATAAAGGTGGAGCCATATCTGAGGAAGTGATTAACTGGTTTGACTCATCTATCATCCTAAACAAGGCAGGGACCAGTACAGATGATGGAAGCCATACTGCTGGCACCAAGTATGCTGCTACTGGAAGTGTTATTGACCCTGAAGTCAGCGGCAGTACTGAAGTAGCTGATGGTGCTGAAATGGAGGGCTGTGAAAGCCACCATGGTAACATCTGTCATGCCAAATGCAACCGTGCCAAGAAGTTTTCCAATGCCAAGGAGGTCCCTTGCTTGAGCCCAGTACTGGCCCTGGTTCCACAGACTGTGGAAGGGGAACATCGGTGTGCGGTGCCAATTAGCCCAAGGGTTCAGTGACCCATCCAGCCAACAGGGATGTAAAGGATGTAGCTATGGCAAAGTCCTGGATGAAAGGAGAGGTTGGGATGGTAAGGCAGAAGTGGTCCATATCTGCCTGGTATACTGACGGCATGCAAACAGTTGATGCCTTGTTGATATTGGACTCAACAGATGCCCCAGGGTCAGAAGTGTAGTTCCTGGTACGGTGTCCCTGACCTCCCTACATGCTACTCTGGGGAGTGGTTAGAGACATTCCACATCCTGGCACTTACCCTTGCTGGTCCACGCTCTTCCTGGGGGGAGCAGAAGAGTCCCCAGGAGAACTGGAGTGGACTTGATTAGTCTTATGCAACCTTTTCCTCTGCGTTCTCCATAAGGATCTGCTCCTTCATTCAGAGAAGTGCTGGCTCCAGAGCACAAAATGCCAACAATCTCAGAACCCGAGAGTTACCTCTAATCCAATGAGAGCCTTGGTGACAAAGCAGGCCACATGGCTTGTTTGGATAGGTGCTGCTTCAGGTGAAGGTCCCTATCCACCTGAGTCTATTTCATGAACAATCTACAGATCAAACACCACTCCTTGACTTGGGCCTCACCCAAGCACAGCAAACACCTTGCGTGGGGTATCGTTATTGGGATCATTCCCCCACACGACGGACAATGTTTAAACCCCGGTGATGGTATCACAGGGGTATTTAACTAAATACAACTAACACTAAATCTAACACTAGGGGTACTAACTATATACAACGAACAAGACACTAAAATAGTGAAAGGTTGTGAGGTTAAGACCAAAAAGAGCTCTAACTCCAGCCATGGACTGTAAGAAGAAATTGATCGGGGTTGGAGAGGCGCCACCTCAGATAGATAGGGGAGGGACTAAGACCAAAAGGCAAGAGCACTGCCCTTCTCTAGTCACTGCTAGTCAAGTGACTGGAGAAGACCACAAGGCACTGGGCATGCACACACCTAAGTGGAATACACAGCTGCATCTACTTGAAGAAGAATCTAGCATTTCCCAAATGTGGGACATGCACAAGGGGTATAACATTAAGATTGGCAGGCCTTTAAATGATCCATGGAGGGGATGACATAGGGTGCAATTGGTTTCATTTTCCTGAAGGTGAGCTCAGTTTTCAAAACTGTTGATCTAGTTCATTCCCTGCCAGTGCAGGATTTTTTCTTGCTGTATATTCTTATATTGCTTTATCCAGTCTAGTTTTAAATGTCCCAAACATTTGAGCTTTCATCTCTTCCCTTATGTCACTATCCTCACCAGAAAGAGCTTTTGCAACATTACACATTTCATCCCATATGTAATACCTTGGAAAAATGTCTCCTTCTTCTTGGTGATTGTATCCTTCATGCACTTAGAGATACTTACCATGCCCTCTCTTCATCAGCAAGCTATATTTAGGTCTTTTATTCTTTCTTCCTATTTTCACTCCTCCAGATTATTTTTGTTCCTCTCTTCTGTACACTCCCAAATTTGATCGCTAGGCTGAGAGGTTGGGTTGGAAGTGTGTGCCGATGGAGGAGGTGGAAGGTTTTTTCAGTTTAAAGGGAGTCTTAGGACTCCCCATTGCACTAGCTGAGATCTATCTGGACTGGCTGAAATCAGAACTATTTTAAAACCTGAAACTCCTGTTTAACTATTTTCTGACAACTTTTTTTGGTATTAGTAATATATGGAATAAAGACCATACTTACCAATTATTTGATATCGTAAAGTTCCATTATTGCCAGCATCTATATCTACAGCCAGTGTAGTGTGCACTATTGTAGGCTCTTGATTCTCCAGAATCTGAATCTCAGGGACAGGAAGGAGAAATGTAGGAGTATTGTCATTTTCATCCAGTACTTTGCAGATAACTGTTGCTGTGCTGGATAAAGAAGGGGTTCCACTGTCTCGAACGAGGACTGAGATTAACACACAGAAAGCAAGCTTATATTAGTGATGTTAGTGTAATGATGAATCTTCATCAGTAGTATCAAAATATTAGAGTCCATGTATAGAGTTCTGCTATACAGAAAATCAGAGTACATGTGCTAATACAGCTGCTTTCTGTTCCTGAACATCTTGCTACACCTATCAGAAAAAGTCACATGAAATTGAGAAAAGTTGACACTGATAAGTGAACCCACACTCTCCACATCCCATTTTACAGTACATCAAACATCTCATACTGTTACCTTTTATACTGAGAATCTCTTGGGCCTCCCTGTCAAGTGAGGCAGTTGTCATCACCTGTCCAGTATCTGAGTTTATCTGGAAAATCTCAAACCCATTTCCTGGTAAAATTTCATACTGAAGCAGGGAATTTATTCCTTAAAAACAAAAAGGAAAATCCAGTAAAATATGCTGCTTTATGATACTTTTTTTCTGTGATCTTTAGTCTGCGGAAAGTGTTATGGATGAAATTAATGGAATAGCATTGTTTTTGCAGGAAACTTATACAAAATAAGCTGGGCACTTCACAGAATCAACTGCAAAACATGGTCCCTGCCCTGATGAACCTATAATCTAGTTTTAGGTGTGACATGATCAGCGTAGGTAATGTAGTTGAGAAGGATTGGAGTTAAGGACAAAGAAGGACAAGAGCAACAAGATCATGCAGTAACTGAGTCTTGGCATATGCACATTTTAGCAGCTCAATAAAGTGTTTGTTTTTAAAATTATTAGTGATTCACTTCTCATGTGCATCTCAGAAGCAGTGTGCCTAGAGGAACCTGTTCAGGAACCCATGATGACTTCAAGAGACTGGAATCAGTATCTTTACTTCAGTTGATCTTGCCAGGGAGAAATCTCCAAGATGAAATATTTGGTTTTGAAAAGCCTTCTAGAATTCCCAAAAATGACCGTTTAAGACTTTTCCCTCCAATATAAGTTTCTACAAGTATGAACTCCATACTATATTCCTAATTAGTCCTTCGAACACCTTGATTGCTATTTAACGAGCTCATTATAACTTTGTCTTGTGTAATTCCTCATTATACATGCAGACATATCACTTGGTGTATAGTATGGGATCTCTACCATGTCTGGGTGTCTCTGGGGCAGCGGTGGGCAAACTTTTTGGCTCGAGGGCCACATCGGGGAATAGAAATTGTATGATGGGCCATGAATGCTCACAGAATTGGGGCTGGGGTGCAGGAGGGGGTGCGGGCTCTGGGGTGGGGCTGGGGATGAGGAGTTTGGGGTGTAGAAGGGTGCTCTGGGCTGGTTCGAAGGGGTTCAGAGGGCGAGAGGGGGATCAGGGCTGGGGCAGGGGTGCGGGAAGGGGTGCAGGTTCCAGCTGGGGGTGTGGGCTCTGGGATGGGGCTAGGGATGAGAGGTTTGGGCTTCAGGAAGGTGCTCCGGGCTGAAATTGAGGGGTTTGGAGAGCAGGGGGGAATCAGGGCTGGGGCAGGGGGATGGGTGAGGCTCAGGGGGTGCAGGCTCCGAGTGTTACCTCAAGCAGCTCCCGGAAGAGTGGCATGTCCCTTCTCCGGCTCCTATGCAGAGGCACGGCCAGGCCACTCTGCACACTGACCCATCTGCAGGCACTGCCCCGGCAGCTCCCATTGGAGCACATAGGAGCCAAAGTGGGGCCATGCTGCGGCTTCTGGAAAACACGTGGTGTGGCCCCCAACCCAGCGCTCCAGCCAGAGCGGGGCTGAGCTGCGTGGTCCGGCTCGCAGGCCGGCTTAAAACAGCTCGTGGGCCAGATCCAGCCCATGGGCTGTAGTTTGCCCACTCCTGCTCTGGAGAATAAGGAGATTAGCAAAGGTAGACTTGTTTTAATTTTTCTTTTCAAAGCTGCCTGCCTCCTGTGTAGATGGATAAATCTGCTTCCACATTCTTATCCATTATGGATTCAAACAATTTCTCCCATTTTTGTTGTGGTTTCAGTGCTCTCCCAAGGAAAGTATAACATTTCCATTGTTGGTTATAGAGTAAGATCATTCACACTATTAACTTTAATGAGATTAATCCTATATTATACACCAAGGGCAACTTGTATTCATCTTGTACTATTGTGCAAGTATATTTCCAGCTTTTTCACAAGTTCCATTTGATCATTTTTCTGTGTTTTTTTTTTTAACTAACAACAGGCTATTAGTAGTTTAGGTACAGTTAATGCACCTGGAAAGGGTTGGAGTTCTTAGTCAATTCTGAAGCTATTTAGGCTCAGACACTGTGGACTTGATTCTGTTCTCACATACACCAGCGGAAATCAGGATAAACTCCATTAGAGTTGGAGTTGTATCCATGTAAACTCAGTGTGAGGAGAAAAAAAGGCCTGCCAGCCAAGGCCTTGTTTTTCTTTTAACTGGCATTGGTGAAACAGATTCACACACCTTAATGAAGCTAAAAGAAAAGGAGTACTTGTGGCACCTTAGAGACTAACCAATTTATTTGAGCATGAGCTTTCGTGAGCTACAGCTCACTTCATCAGAAGCTGTTGTCATTTGATTAAGGGACTAACTACTGTAAATGGACTTGCTTCTTATTAATTCAAAGGGATGACATGTTTATTCAAATACAAGTAAAGTTGTGTAGGAGAAAGAGGATACATTAAATATGCTCTTACATCTTTCTAGATCAGAGAAAAACATGTAATGGAAAAGACAACCCTGGAGTAACCTCATGCAAAATTGAAGGTCAACAACCTACTGCAGCCCTTCCCCATGCAAAGTATATCTTACCTAAATATAAAAGCATCACGGCAGCTCTAGCTTGGAAAATGGCTACATTAGCTGATACAAGTCATCTGTATGTAGCAATCATTATCTACATCTGAAAGGACAAACACCGTAAACAGAGAAAGAAGATAACTACTGAATTAGGGGTAGAGATGACATGAACTTGTGATAAAACCCTGTGTCTTTTTGCAACTAAAGGCCTTGAATAAGATCTTCATGGACAGATTCTTCACAACGGTCATTATTTGTAGCCAATGCTACACAGACACATAGCTACCATAACAGTCAGCTAACCACATAAATGCACTATTAGAAATAAAATTTCCAACCTTTAAAATAAAAACCACAAGCTTCTATCCTTTGAGCTACAGGACATTCTTGATCAATTGCCAGTGTGGGAATGCTTATAATATCCTCCCTTCAAGCCTCCAGCCACTGGACCACAAGTCCATTAGAGGATGATAAACACTTAAGCATGTCTGACACTTTATCCAGAAGAGGGAAGTGGTGATCATACATTCAGTGCATTACAATATCACACACCTGGCAGAACAAGTGACATATTTAGACTTAACCCACCTCTGGAGGTATGTTATTGACAGCTCTTGCTAAGGAAACTTAAGTGTTTCCATTCCAACCTCCCTTTTCCAGTTGATTATAACTTTCTGAAACATTCCCTTTTTTAAAAGAACTTTTTTCTGCCCAAGTGGAATTATTTTTCTGGAAGTTTGAGTGGAACTTTGCTCCAACTACCGGTAAAAAAGGCTTGGAGTCCAACAAACCCACAACGAGGAAACACTTTTCCACCATTCAGAATCTCTCATCTGAAGAGTTTGTACTTCACGAGCCAGAGAAAAGTCAGGAGGATGGACAGCCAGGCTCCCCCATGCTCCCACTTACTCTAACTCTTGGCTACACAGTATCCTCTCCGTGGCAGAGCTCAGAAGCTCTACAGGAGGTGGGAAGTCTCTGTAGCTGCTCTCCTGCAGAGTTCCTAAGCTGAAAAATGCTACTGCATCTTACAACTAATATGAAATGAATGAAGCAGGACTACACACTTACTCATTCCATAAATCCCATATTCCTCGCTGTTACTCTTGACCACACACTCTGCTTTAGAACCCATATTGAGAAAAACAAAGCCAAGGTTACCATCCAAAACAATGTTTTCAGCAAGCTGGTTACATCAAAGAGGGATGCAGATCCATCCACACTGCGATCAACAGCACTGGCACTTTGCTACTCCTCTGCTGAATATGCCTGTGCATCAAAACCCAAATACAAAGAGGCTGGTCCCTGTATTTAACACCACCTGCCACTACATTACAGTATGTCTTAAGCCTACCCATGTCAACAGCCTCTATATCCTCGCAGGTATTGCTCCCCCAATATACGCGGGAAAGTTGCTAGCAGAGTGCACAAAGCAATGCACAGATCCAAGACATCTTCTATATGATTTAACACCGATGCTTAGTTGCCTAAAGACATGACAAAATTTTCTTGCCACCATTAACCCCTTAACATTATCACCCAAACAGGCAAGGATTCAATAATGGCAAACAAGAGTAGATAATGCCCCTGTAGCCTGTGTGCTCTGGCCCCCACCAGTCGAACACCTACTACTCGGTGAAGATCAGCTCTGGACTATAAGGTTTTGTCTTAATCGACACCACACTGTAGTTTGCCAGTCTAGGGATGCAATGATCAAGTGGGGCTACATCGCTAACCCCAATACCTGTGACTACAACAGAGAGCCTCAAATATGAAGTTTCTCCTGCAATGCCAGCTGCTCGAGTGTGCATGCTCTTCCAGTGATCCGGCAGAGTGCAATGATCAGGCAATCACATATGCACAGATGTGGTGGGAAGCAGTATGAGAACACGGCAAGAAGATTACTACACACTCTCTGGAAACAGGGACTTCTGAACTGGACTCCTCTCAGGACAAGGCACTGCTTTCCAGCTTTAATACTGAGTTCCTACACTTGAATCAACTCTTTCTGCACATCAAAAGCTGAAAAAAAAAACTCACCCAGGTTTATGGTATTAAGATCACTATTAATACTCTGATTTTGTTTTCATGATACTCATATTTGGAATTGCAGACAATGGTGAGCAGGAGCTTAAAGGCAGAACTTATTAGATACACACAGAGCTGGTTCAAAGCCCAAGATTTTTGCTATAAAGGGGGTTCCTCAACTCAAGTATCTTACCTAGTTGAAACATTCTGCAGTTATCTTTGCTCTCATGTCTGAGAGCTTAGATTTGTGGGTTGTTTGCAGTGCACACTCCTACTGGACCTGCAGGAAGCATGTGTCTCCAGACAATTTTTGGGATGCAGCTTGAGGAACTCACAGGAAGCATGCTCAGGAGAAACTGCTCAAAATTTAGGACAAGACAGCTCCCTGGGTGCAATGGCCCAGAAGAAGGAGACAACGAAGTTACAGTTCCTGTGGGGCAGGTGGAGATTCCACAGGAGCACAGGCCCTCATACAATGCAAGAGGTCCTCCTTCTGAGAGAAAAGGGGGCAGTCTGGGGTGCCAGTAGAAATGTACTGGCTGCTTTCCTAATGGTTAAAGGACTCTTCCTGTGGTACACTCGTGGGAGTTGGTGGAGCAGGATGTCCAATGGATGTCAAAATGCGTGAAAGTGGCCTCAGCCACTAATGCAGTCTTTCATAACCGATACTTCAAAGTGGTGGTCAAACACAAACTAATTTACAGCTGCATGCTTTCCCTCTTCAACAGGGAGAGAATCTACAAAGTGGGAGAACTAGTGAGGAAGAGAAGACTGGAAGGTGCATTTGGCAGTAAACAGGACTCCTCCATGTGGCCAGTCAAGGAACACACCAGACAAAAAAAGAATCAGTGAAAGGAGGAAAGTAAGCCCTATCTCTAGGGCAAACAAGTAACTTTGTGGATGTGAAATGTAGCTGTGTCCACCGATGTATTTTAAAAAGCAAGGTGACAGCCCATATGAAAAAAATAATTGTGGCATTATTCTCAAATATATAAAAAAGAAAACAACATTTATTTCAACATGCTGTATGCTTATTTAACTACTTTGTATGTTTCCCTACTTTTGGTTGTGGGTTTGAATAGGACTGCAATATACACATAACACTGGGCCAAATTTTGATAATGTGAGAAAAAGCCCCAACAGAAGGACTATGATTACTGGAAAATGTGTTCAAAAATAACAGAACTGGAGGAAGGAACCTTCAGCCACAACATACTGCTCCAGCCCAGTGCTTCTATGCAGACAGCCTGCTGCTGGATACTGTTCTGTGCCACCCCTTATGCTTGGAGTGTCCTTCCTATCTCATTTTCCCAAGCCTCCGCTACCACCTCCTCATTCTAAATGCTCCCACAATTTTCATTTCTGCACTTCCCACAAGAAAGGAGTAAAAAATAATTACAGGGATTAGGTGGGGGTGGAATTCAAGCAAATTTCCCATGCTTCTCTGCATCCCTCTTTTAGACCGTAAACTTTTCACATCAGGTATTGCCTTCACTTCTATATTGAGTACAGTGCTGAACATGCTGTTGGTGATTAACAAAACATAAATAAAAATAATACTTTGGGGCATTTGGTAAGGGGGTGGGCACAGATACTGTTCAGCTGTTATGCTGGCTTTGGGCCGTGTAGATTCACACCATGCATGGACCCATAGGGTTACCTGCCTTCAGTGGTCTCCTAGGTACAGCTTTTGCACAACAGTGCACATATGTGGCACACACGGGGATGAAGAGTCCCTCCTACATGGTATCTCCACTGGTCTGTCCCCCTCAGACCTGCCTTTCACAATGATTGTGAGCACAGTAGTAGAACTATAAATCTTGCTGAGTGCAGAGGACGGTTTTGTTAATCAGCTCTTTAACAATTTTTTTTTACGTAGCACAGCACTATACTATACTGCAAAACATATGTGGAGGAAGAAAGCATGTAGTACAGAGGAATTGAGTATAAGAGGAACCCCTCTTCCTCATCTATTTTGTATGTCTCTGAAAAAAAACATTAGTGTTATTAACTTTAAAAAATACACGAAGTCTTCATGTCCTCAATTTTTCATCGTGTTACAAATCTGCAGCTGGCTTCTAGGTCAAGATTCCTTTTCTGTGCTATTACAACAAAAATCTTGGATGACAGTGCCCCTTTCTGGCCAGAAGAAGTTCATGCACATTTGCTGGTTCTATTTCAATAAAAGTATCTTTACCTAGTAAAATAACTTTTAAACACTAGAAATATTCTGCTTTGAAGGAACAGAAGTTGCAAATATTGACTTTAATTTAGTTTACATTTATTTTAGTATTTCAAGTTTTGGGGAAAAAAATCACTGACTGCCGTCCACATCAGGTTCCCATACAATTCTAGATCTACGACTTTTAAGTAATGGTTTCCCAAAATTTAGGCCTGATTCTGCTCTGCTCTCACTGATATCAACTGAAGTTTTGTCATTCACTTCAAAGGCATGAGAATCAAGTCCTTTGTAATAATATTCTTTCTTTAAGCACAGAGGATGTAATTCTGGCCTACTGAAGTTAATAGGGAGTTTTGCCATTAATTTCAATGGAACCAGGATTTCACTCTGAAAATACACCCACAGCTCACCTAATGTAAACTTTTTTATATAGGGTGCTAGAGCAAAAGGCCCCTTGCTGGGAAAATTTGACATTTGGGAAGTATGTTTTAAAGGGAGAGTACTACATAGCTTGAGGCAACATTTAGTTTTTCTACCTTTTGTTTAAATAAATGTTCTCCTTAGCCTAATATTAGTAGATATAATATGAAGTCTTTTAAATATAATTTTTTTATAAATTTAAACATTCCCCTTTAGTGTCTGCAACCCAAACACTGCAGCATTACGCTAGGGCATGAAAGCCAAAAATTGAACCTGACCAGACAAGTTTCAGCACCAAATCTAAGAACACAATCCTCCAATGTGATCTGTACAGATGGACCTCTGGACAGAACCACTAGACTTCACTGGGGCTCCACTCATGTGGATCAGAATGCCTAAGTGAAATGCAAAGACTAAACAGCATAAAGGATGACAAGATAAATTATATTTTAAATAGTCTTTCTGTTTTAATTATTTAATGTGTTATTATTGAGTAATTTCTTTTTTTAGATTTTTATCTCGCAACATCCCTTTACTCAGCAATGGTAGTCTTCTATACTTTTTCTTTGCTGATTATTTATACTTTGGAATTTGGAAATGAGAAACAACCTACTGTATACAGTTTTGGTATTTGGTCCTGAATATTCAAAACTGGATTCTGATTTCAGCAAAAACTCTAAGCAAAACAAGAAAGACTACTTCTGTTTTTCTCACTTTCCCTGGCTTGCTTGAATTTTCCATGGAGAAGAGTGAAACCTTTCTGGGGAGTCCATCTTCATTCATAGGTTTAGAAATATGGAGCCAAGATGCGGTAATTAACATTAACATTATTTCCAGCATGAAAGTAATGGCTAAAATGACTGAAATTACCTGAATCTCTGTCTACAGCTTCCACCTTAATGACAAACTCTCCAGGATCTTGGTTTTCAGAGACTGCAGCTTCATACAATTGCTTTTGAAATACTGGCCTCTCATCATTTACATCAAGAATGTTTACAGTCAGCATCTGGGTTGCAGAGAGTGCTGGTGTGCCATCATCAAGAGCCATGATAGTCAAATGGTAGTATTCTTGACTTTTGTGGTCCAAAGGAAAGACGGTGGTTAGCAACCCTGTTATAAGGAAAAGAAAGTTCAAAAGGGCATTGTTTCCTTACAACACTCCCCTCTTAGTACAGTAAGTTACACTATCACAATAGTCAGTCACTATTCGTTTAACCTCTGCAGTCCCAGAGAAGCTCAAGTAGTGCAAATATTTATATAATCTCTTAATGTGCAATTCGCTCTGAAAATGTAAAACTTTGTAAATGTGGCATTGATTTTCATATCAAATGTGTTCACTTTACAAATAAGATGTTTTTTCTATCTACTCTAAAACACGGTGATATCACAGCACCCTCTTGACAGCTCCGCAAACTCATCCTTGGGCTCCATATGTGAGTCAGGCTGTTTTTTCCTTGTATCATCACCACATGATAAAGATTCTACTAGACAAATTACGCCTTCAGTGACATACATGTAACCCCACTGCTTTCTTAATTCTGTGCTAAAGACTTTAACACAGGGGTTCTCAATCTTTTTCTTTCTGAGATCCCTCCATGCTATAAAAACTCTACCGCCTACCTGTGCCACAACAATTGTTTTTCTGTATATAAAAGCCAGGGCTTATGTTACAGGGCAGCAAGCATGGCAATAGCCCAGGGCCACAGGAAGCAACGTTGCTCAGGCTTTGGCTTCAGCCCCAGGTGGTGGGCTTGGTGCCTTCGGCTGCAGTCCCGTGTGGTGGGATTTCGGCTTTCTGCCGTGAATCTAATGCTAGCCATACTTGGCAGACCCCCTGAAACCTGCTCACGGCCCCCCAGGGGACCCCTGGTTGAGAACCACTGCATTAGCACATTTCATTCATGTCTACACAATGATAAAAAGCCAGCGGCTAGCCTGGGTCAGCTCATTCGGGCTTATGGGGCTCAGGCTCCATGGCTGAAAAAATCACAGTGTAGACATTCAGGCTTGGGCTGAAACTCAAGTTCTGGGACCCTCCACCCTTGCAGGGTCCCAGAGCTCAGGCTCCAGCCCAAGCCCAGATGTCTACACAGTGATTTTTAGCCCCGCAGCCCAAACCCCACAAGCCCGAGTCAGCTGACCCAGTCCAGTCCAGTGATACTGCGGGTCTTTTATTCCTGTGTAGAAGTACTCTATCAGGCTTCCAATGGAGTTGCACTGGCGTAACTGATTGGAACTAAGGGTTTGTCCTCACAAATAATTAGTTTGCAGTCAGATAGTGGGGAAATCTTCCTCACACTAGCCTGCTACACTCTCACTGTCCACGTGTACCCTGCTGATGTGCATTAACAGTTCATTAATTTGCTTTGATCTATTTGTTTCCAAAGAACTAAATCAAAGCATTTTAGTGAGCTGTTCATGCACGTCGGCAAAGTCACACAATTAGACCACGGCAGGCTAGGTAGAGTCATACCTCAGCTTGCCACAAACTAAAGTTTGTGTAGACAAGCCCTTTCTAATGTGATGTTTATTTTACACTTGAGAGGGTTCTTTTTCATCATTTTAAAAAATATTTATGTGTCCATGGTAGTAAAAGAGCAGTGTGAGAGAAACTTTTTTCTTGTTCCAGAAATTTGTCCCAAATCTATGGGAGTCCCACAAACAGTTAACATACATGGGCCTGCAATCACAGAGAAGATTGGCAATGAGACTATAAACCAAAAATAAGTGGTAACAACTATATCCTGAAAAAGATGTACAACTGCACACCCCTTATAAAAAGGGAAAAATTGGATTAATGTTTGAAATGGATGTGGCATTAGTGTTACAGATCTTGTGCGGGAGACAGAGCATTCCTGGGAGAAAAAAGTGTGAGAGTGGGGAATGAACTCCAACAGACATTAAGGATCATTATATCATCATCTTCCTCTGTAAGTACAAGGTGTCCTTCTTTTACCTTGCATTCTCTAATATAAAGCTGTTTGTGTGTGTGTGTAAAACACATCTAAAAAAAACCCAGTCCAATGCACACACTTCTTCCCTTAGCTTGAGGTTGAAAAAACAAAACTGTGACAGATGTTAGTAACACTGGTTAATACACTCCTGGAAGGTGGGCAGATAGTATGGTGATGAGCATAGCATAAGAATCTATATAGAATATACAGTACCTGTGGTTTTATCTAACAGAAATGCTTCGTTTTCATTGCCTGAAAGAATGTGATATGTAACTTGTCCATTCCTTCCTTCATCTGGATCCTCTGCAATTACATGATGCACCAGAGAGCCTACCTCTGCGTTCTCCATGACATAGGAAAGAGAGGAAGAAACAAAACTGGGACTGTTGTCATTAATGTCTAAAATGACAATTTTTGCTGTCAGGGAACCAAGTCTGCGCTCTGTCAAGTTTATTGCCTGATCTGATGCAGACACTCTCAGGACAACAGAGTGAGTGACCTCTCTGTCTAACGGAATTGCTGTGATCAAGGTGCCATATGAAGGGTGGATGAGAAAGGGATTTTCACCAGAGTCACTCGTTTCTATGGAATACTGTACTCTGCTGTTCAGAAAACTGCCATCTCCGTCTTTTGCATTGAATGTGTACACCAGAGTGCCAACAGGTACATTCTCCTCTATGCCAATCACTATGAAGTTATCCTGAAAATAAGGGGAGTGGTCATTTTGATCTTCTACATCAATACTGAGGAAAATAGTGTAGTTCTGTGGAGGATTCTTATTATAATCCTTCATGACAACTCTCAGAAGGAAGTGAGAAGTTGTTTCATAGTCAAGTTCCTTGAAAAGAAACAGATCCCCTGTCGAACTATCTATTTCAAAATGATCATCACCCTCTTCTTCAGATACACTAAAATGCAGTTTTCTGTTGGTTTGCAGATAATGACCAGGCAACTTCACCGAGCTCAATATTTGTGCAGGCTTAAAATTCTCAGGTATGACAAAGTGCCTGATATCTTGAGAAAAGACAGATCTCCCTTTAGAAAATGGGATTACCTGAAACAAAAGCACAAAGACAGCAATATTTTTTCCATTGCTACTACTGGGATTTTTTGCAATATTGTTTTTCTTTACTAATTAAGAGGCTATAGTCATTTGTAGCTTGTTCATGCATAATTCCCATTAACAGACATCAAGGACAGAACAGACCCCACAATTGTATACTTGTAACACAGGGAAAAGCTTTAATCCCCCTTCCTCCCCTGAAATTTAACAAAAGTTAAAAATCAACCTTAGAAAATCCTCCAACAAGTCACTACCTAGATTCATCCTTCCAAGCACCTTGGCACTCAAGGTTGGAGCAGAGTAGGGAACAAGAGGTAATCTCCCCTCCCTGAATCTTACGAGCTCCACAAAGAGGCCCCATCCCCACTGCTCTCTTCCCGCAGCAGAGCTCCTCAATAGAGTTGAGATGGGAACATTTTTCAAAGTCTCAAATTCTAATGGGATGGCAAAACTGTTTCTCACCGAGCTTTACTCTTGAGCTGCCTTCCCTCCTGTGGCAGGGATGTGGTGTTGCCCAGAAATCACCATCCGCAATTTAGTTTGCCAAATACGAATAGCAATTGATTTTGTTGAGGATTAGTTAAATTGTCCAAGAATTTCCTTCACCACAGATCATTGAAATGATCTCAGAATGGGAGAAACTCTTCAATAGTTGAGCTGCATCAGTCTCATGATTGAGAAACGTTTAGCATATTCCAAAAATTAACCTTCCTACTGGTGATATACGAACAATATTCTGGGTGACATTCAACCTATAATTAAGGGATTATAGAAGACCCCCGACAAAGCAGATCTACCGTGGTTCTGATGGACAGAGGGTAGGTGGCTACAGAGAGGGCACGAAAGTAAATTTAACACTCCCCACGCATGGCAGAGCTGGTCTCTCTGACAGCTCCATATCGGCCAGCATGAAGAGTGCGGGCAGGCAGAGAAGAGACATGGTAATAGTGGGGAAATTGCATGTATTTTAAGTATTTTGTCTTCAGAATTACTCTGTTTTCAGTCTCTCTGTATTGGCTTTTCACTTTGTCTACTCTCTGCTCCATTTGTAATTTTTTTATTGGATATTTTCCCTCTCTTCTCTTATGTTCACAATCTCTTCCTAAAAGGACATGAACATTGTAAATTGCATGTCAAACTTCTGAACTCGTAATAATGCAATGGTTTCAAAATTAGGCAAAATGCGTTCACCCTCTAATTTCCTGGTTCAGTAGAACAATAGCTAGACTACAGAGAATTCTGATGAGAAGATGTGCTCTTTATATCAAAATATATACATTTTACTTTCAACATCTTCATCCTTTGGGTTTCTAAAAGGTTTAAAAAAATAAACTGAAAATACAGTACCAGTTTTCCAATCCATGCTAAACAAACAGGTACCTGAATGTTAACAACTGCATGTCCTTGAAGAGGAGGCATTCCTTGGTCACTTGCAGTGACCAGTATTCTGTAGTTAGGTCTCCAATTATATGAAAGAGTTTCAGTTGTTCTTAACTCACCACTGTTGGCATCAATCTGAAAGTGACCGAAACTATCTTCTACAGCAAAAAAAGAAATTAATTACTGTTAATATAAATGTTGAAGATACAATATTACTTCCCCAAAGACACACCTTCCATGATCACATATTACTATGCTTTGTAATTAACAATACAGAGCATGTCTCTGAGGTAAGAGAATCTGCAAGTCCCATTTACTTCTATGGGAGTTGTGGGGGCTCCACACCTCTGAGGATCAAGATCATAATTAGGATGATCTGCTGTGAGCTCAATGACACAATGCCAATTCATGGGGATTACAAGGTATAAGGCACCCGCTTATTTCCATGACCAGGCTACCTACATTACTGGATTGTGCACAAGGGGGATATCAGCTCCCATAGGGCTGCTACTAACACAAGAGAGAAAGTGGACAGGGAGTGGATAGGCATAAGCAGAGAGTGGGTGGAGCCTTAGCAGCTGAACTGTCCTGGAGGGGGAAGTAAACTGAGACAGATAAGTACTTACTGACTTACTTACTTACTGACTTACTTCCCACATAAAACAAGGAGGAAGCAGGAACAGAATTGTGACTCTCAAAGTCTGATCTTCGCCTAGGGTAGTGTAAATAGCCTTGTATTTGCTTTGAATAGGAACAATACACTTTGCATGTACTCTAAGGGAGTTAAAATCCTATGCATATTTGCCCTAGAACAAAATAGGATAATAAGAAACTACCTTTTTATAGTTTATACAAAGAGCGGCCACACTGCCAATAACCAGTACATTCTCATTTAAATTATCACTAGTAACCACTTCACATTAGTATTTATTCTAGACTAGCAAGAAAATGCTAACTAACAAGAGTATTGCTACACCATGCTATTTATGCCTTCTCTGTCACACTTGAAATAATGAAATTCCTAGAACGAAATAGCAGATTTCCTCCCCAATTTTACTAGAATGTGCAAAAAAAAATTTTAAAATTCTAATTCATTTGTTATAAAAAATTCCCCCTTAAAATATTGTGTATAGAGTATTTTTAATGAGGTGAACTTGTGTGTCAAATATAATTGCATAGCATAATAGGTGCTGTCACCCAGCCAGCAGACAAAGGATGTGGTTTAATTAGGCTGCAACTTTATTCACTTAAAATATCTGGGAATACCTAAAAATACATTGCACAGTGCAGGTCATCATCATTTCCTTAAAAATGTCCACATAACCCCCAACCTGGGCCCAGCCATCCCATTGCTGGGACACTGCTATCTTCCCCTCACATGAGGGTTAAGGGGGTTATAAAAGGAGGGGGTTCAGCTCCCTGCTGTATCTGAAACAGAAGGCCCAACCCACTTCCTCAGCTCCATTAAAGGATACTTTCCTTTAAATCCTTTTCCAATCCATTTAATCCAATAACCATATCCCTTCCATAATGAGTATCTGCATTGGAAATCTGGCACAAGTTTTAGGCACTAAGTTGCAACATTATAGCCTAGACCCCCGTCCCACTTCACTGGGTCCCAAACCCACTGTGGGGAAGGCAAACCCCACCCCACATCCCTCCTCAGCCAACCTGGCAGTGAGGGAAAAATTCCTTCCCAGCCCACAAGGAAAAAGGGGTGACTAGCATAGTGCCCACAGCACATCATGAAGGAACCCAGGCCTTTTTCAGATTTCATGGGTGGGAGGGTGGATGCTGCCAACCTAACCCAGGTGAAAGAGGGTTTCAGGGGGGCTGCATGGAGTATAAATAAGCCCCCCTCATTCAGTCAGCTGGAAGGGCAGTGCCTCCCCTGACCTGGGCCAGCCACCTCTTGCTCCTACCTGCTCCAGCCCAGTATACCCCTTCCCCCTCTGCTACCAGTTGCACAGGGAGCCTTTAAAGGGGTAACAGCCCCTTTTCTTCTGGCCAAGGACCCATGTCATACAGCATATTCTAATAAGCTACTGTGGTAAAAACAAATCAAAGACAGATGTAGTACACAAAATATCCATAAAAAGCTAAATTTCCATAGAGAACCCGAGCTGTTGTTCCCCAAATCTGCATATGCAAATTAGAGAGATGCACACACAAATGGCCATTTATGCATTCAATTACCTTACCCCAACTGTGTCCACAAAATATTTGGTTCTGGATACTTTGAATATGCAATTTAAGAGACTAATGTGAAAACATGGCTTTGATTGTCAATCTGTAGGAGATTTTTCCATTGTTCTTCAAGGTTATTTTAGAGTGAATATACATTTCTAATGTCTCAATTAACCCTCTTTTGGTTTGATTCTTGCTTTTTATTGTGCAGTATACCTGGGAAATTACCAGCCAAAGGGACACAAAGTGAACAAGCAAATATATTTAATGGAACAATATTGTATTCTGCACTTTTCCCCTGGATTTTCAGAAAATTAATGCTGCTTTACAACTGTTTTCATATATTACCCTTGGTAAGGCTTGCGTTTAAGGCCTTAATAGCATGTGTCACAGCATACACAGCTACCCTCCATTATTCCAACATTTTGTGTCAGAAAATTCCAGTAGAAGAGAAAGTTGAAGGAGACAGAAAAAATAGGACTAAAAAACCAAACTATAAGCATATGTTTATAACATGTGCTAGAAATTATGTATTTTAAAATAATTGACAATGAAAATTAAAGAGAATTGAAACTAATAATAAATAGATGTGCATGAATACAATATCCTTCATGTTCTGACAAAACGAAGCTTACATTAACAAAACAAAGAACACCCCCAAGTAAAGTAGTTACAGCATGAGTGAGCTCCTACAAGTATTCTCACTGACTTCAATGGTAGTCAAGGGTGCTCAGCAGCTCTCAGAATCAGATTTGTTTTTCTCTTTCAAGTAATGCTGTACAGATGGTGTGCAGCTATGGTGTGAAGTACGATCTAAGATTGGTGTCAGTCAGTACAGGAGGAGTGAACCTTGCTTACTTGATAAGAGAAAGAAAAATAAGCAACCAGTCAAAAGCAAGGTTTTTGAATAAAGCAGAGTAAAACTAGAACTGGTTGGAAAAACTTAGATGGAGCCATTTTCCATCAGAGAAGGCAATTCCACTGAAAACAAAATGCTGCCTGAAATTCTTTAGGAAAAAATAGTTTAGAAAAACCCTCACTTTGAAATGATTTTGTGCTTAGAATTTTTTATTTAGTATTATATTATGTATTGTAATATAATATACAATAAAAAGTCAAAATCTAAACAAAATGGTTCATTTTTGTACATAAAAATGTTGTGATTGATCCAAAACAAATTTGGGAGCAATTTTCTTTCAGAGAAAGTTGAAATTTTCAAGTTTTACTTAGATGTGGAATGAAGCCAAATTTTGAAATCTCAAAATCCTTTCAAAACAGAACTATCATCCACTGCACACAATTCTAAGTCAAACCTTTTCAATTTTATGAAGGTGGTTTCCAATTAGCTGAATTTAAAAAAAATATTCTTTATTGATTTAACAAATTATAAAATCAGGATAATAAAAGACAAACATACACATCTAGACCATACTTTAAAACTTCACACTTTTGATTTACTTAACATAGTTTTGGTATTGTTTCAGGATTCCATAAATATGAGGCAGAATAAGAAAACATCAAGGAGATGTTATCTAAACCAGAGATTTTAAGGGTTACCTCTGTACAAAAACAAATATACACAATGTAAATATATATGCACAACACACATAATGCAAACAATTAAATTTACAACATACATGAAGTAATTGTCATGGTCATTTATCTAATGTTAATATGCAACACTGCACTAATTTTTTGTGTGACATTTCATAGAGATATATAAAATTCAGAACACCCAATTTAAACAGAAGTAATATTAATCCAATTTAACAGTGCGGTTTTTATAGCCACAACTACATTAAAAGCGGCTGTGGAGGTGCACTGTCTCAGCTGCAGTTGCCAATCAAATGCTGTCTATGGAGTACTCCGTCTTGTAAAATGCCTGCCTTTGTGCAGGGAGAATGTGCTCAGCAAATAATATACTCTTGCAGCATACAATGCCCCCAGCATTAGCTCTAAAGTTGAAGGGGAAGAAGAGGGCCTGCTTTCCCAGCCACGCCCCCTTTTGGGGGCACAGTGCCTCAGGTCACACTAGCCTACCTCTCTCATGAATGCTTGAGGAACAAAAACACCAGTGTTCTGGATACCTTTGAAGTGGGTGCATGAGAGAAAGGAAAAAATTCCCTGTGCTCTCTATTACCCTGATGCATCAATGTAATCGGGACTTGAAAAAACGTACCCAACACCCGCTAGCCTGAGAAATAAGCCTACTCGCTAAGAACCAAAAATAGCTGAGCAGCCACACCCCTCGTAACCAACACCCCCCCCTTCAGTTAAAAGGAATACAATCATATCACATTTAGATACTTGGCCCTTCTACACAGGGAAATTGATCAGAATAGCTATTGAGGAATAAACAATTGTGGTGAATTGTGAACACACTAATATTAATTCAGAAGCAAGTGATTTTTATTCTGGAATACAGTGTCCACACTGGGAGTTATTCCAGAATTGCTATTCCGACTGTTAGTTAATGCTCTTGAGTGCACACTCCCTGCATTTGCCTGAGTTGGTGCTCCACAGGCAGTATGCATCTGGCAACTGCAGCTGAGTCAATGCATCTCAATGTGCTCTGTTAATAAAGGGGAGGGGAGAACAAGGGAAACAGAGGGGGGAAATAAAGAAACCGAGGAAAGAGGAAGAAGTGGGGAAAGAAGAAAACCCTAGCCACCTAGGGTGGTTGGGTCCCTACTCGCCCAGTGCTCCCCTCCTGGTTAGTTCCCTGCTGGTGCCCTGGTATTCTATTCCACTGTGCTTCCCTCCCCTCTGCTGCCCAATCCACTCGCTGTTCTGCTCGCTCTCTCATTTATCTGCTATTCTCCAATGCTCAGGAAGCTCCTTAGCTCTTTTCCACACAAAGCAGCACATACTGCAAATCTAGATAAAGAGGAGGTAGAACTGTAAGGTATTGAGGAATCCGACCATGAAACGGTAACAGAACTGTTCCTCCAGCCATTAGAACATAGGTATTCAGGGTGCTGCGTAATTCATTTAGATGTCTCAACTGGTTTTCAAGCCCTGAATCCCAAAGCTGTCACAATCTGTTTCTGAAAACCTATCATTAGCGACTAATCACAGGAGGACACTAGATCTTTCTCAAATATAAGTGACCTCAATATGCAAATGCTATTATCTTAATTATTTTCCTATGTGATTTCTAGAGGAACTGTATTCTATATAAAGCCCCATTTAAGTTTCCACTTATTTTGAAACCTGATCATTGGAGAGGGTAAGTAATTCAAGAACTTTTGCCAACTTCAATTCATTCTGGTGAGGGAAGGCAAGGGTCTTGTCTTCACTGGGTGAGAGGGAGTCACTGGCAAGGCCCTCCAATAGTATGGATACCACAGGGAACATGAAGTTTGTGAATTCCATCTCTACTAAGGTCTGGGCTCCTCCTTCCCCTAGAGAGCAAGCTTTTGACTTGTCTATGGCAGACAGCTGTGACCTTTGTCACCCTGCATGTCCCTGGCATGTAAACTCCTACAGTTGTGGTAACCGCATATCTATCCTAAATCTCACAATATGACAACACTCCTAAATTTCATATCTTGGATGTTTTTATGGAATTGTTGTGAATGGAACTGCTTTAGGCAAAGAGTTGTAAAAGGCTGTATTTTTCCAGTGCTACTGGGTGGTCTTAAAGATGACAGGCATATTTTATGAAGCAATGGAAATGTAAAGACAGGTGCACTTTTCGGAAATGCTACTGTATAATTAACAAGAGTAAACTAAGTCCAGATAGATCTATTTTCAGTTACTGATGCCATAAAGATGGAGGTTTTCAAGGCTATGACTGTGCCGATTATCAGTCATTCTATGAGTGATGACATAGGAGCAGAACTGTGATTGGATGATCCTGCACATCTGTAGATTTTAGCATTTGAGGGTGTTTTGTTTTGATTTATTTTTTGTTTTAAAGTGAAACATTTACTTTCAAAAGCTAACAGTTGTGTCTTTTGAGTAAACTACAATGATCCCTTAAAGGTTTTCCTCCCTTAAATAAAGGTGCCATTTATGATTAACTTCTTTACACAAGTTAATCTGTTTTTAGCTGGGAATTTCCTTAAGGATCTTAAGAACACTAAACATTACTCAGTGACTAGCATCCCTGTAGACCTTGAAAGCTGCACTGTGGACATTGATATTCATAACTCTTGATCCTGGGACAGTCCCTTAATTGTTGAAAAGAACACTGGGATCTGCATGCAGATCCCAAACTGATTCCTGTTTTTTACAGTAGTCTTATAGTAATTAATATAGACTATATTTCTTTATTATGTTTTAGTACTGGATTATCTTCTGAACAATATCTCAAAACTAAATTCTTGATTTCTTATTTTTTAAATATTAAGCCACATTCCACTGTGAAATAAAAGATCTAGACATGAAATGCCATTAGTCAGGAAATGCAAATGTATTATCGGAGAAGGTCAGATGCCTCTAGATTTGATCACTGACAAAATATCTAATTTCACAGTTGAAAAGGGGTCTGGATTTTTTTGAGTTTACTTTATTTGACCAAATAAGGTTTTTAATCAGAGTATAACATATTTAACCTTTTGACATTTGTAGCAGTAACATACCAAAAACAGTTAAATTTTGGGGTAGTAACCATTTTAATAATTTGCATTCCTACTGAGTTCTCTCCAAGGCTTCGCTGTGTACCCAATGGGGGAAACCTTTGTGACACTGAAGGGAAGGTGGGACTATGCAGAGAGACAGCCGTCTCTACAGACTGGCCTTTAATTTGTCAGACTTGGTCCACAGGGTTGGGAGGCCCTGACTGCCACCTGCTCTGCAGCCCTCTAACTCTCAAATCGCACTAGAGGGGACAATTTTTTGACAACTCTATAGTTCAACACAGAGGAGTTTTCAGTCCCTTTTGGTCCTCTCCTCAGGAGGTGGCGATCTGGATCTATATTTTTAGGAGTATACCTGGGTTCTTAGCACCTTGTAATTTTTGCATAATAGAAAAAAACTGTATTATTTCAGAGAAACAGATGCAATAAAAACCAACCTTCAGATTAATAAAAACTGTTGATTCTTATTACACAAATACATTACAACGGAAATATTTTCAATCCAGCTGTAAAAATTTAATTTTAAAAAGTGTCTGTTGGTGGGAGAGAGCAGATTTAACATCTGGGCCCTTATGGAGGTTATGGTGTTTTCCTCCTACAATGGCAAGCATAGTGCATGAAAATACCGGGGAATATAGCTCATAATAACAAGTAACCTCTGCCTTGCCATGAAGGTATTACTTCCTCCCTTTCTCCTTAAGAGTGAGATGTAATTTAGTTTTATGATACTTTAGTTTTGGTTCTTTACTCTGAAGTGACAAATAAGACTGACAAGTCTAAACTGACTGAGGCATGGGTCTGAGCTCTAGCTAAGCAAAGATGACAGATGAGAAACTGTAGAACTCAGATGGAAACATCAGAGCCGTTTTCTTGCATAGCCTGTATTCAATCAAATGTTTGTCTTATGTGTCAATTATTACAGATTTAAAATATTAAGCATGAAAGACATTGACTCCATAAATCCTGTGAAACAAAGCAGGGTATAAAAAATAACGTTACGGAATTCTGATGTGAACGCCTTACTGACAGTTTTTCAGAAATAAAGTTTTATTCTTAACAGGTTTTGCAGTCTTGAACAAATAATGTGGTATAGCCAAGGGAACTGCCATGTTTTTCTCATTGTTTAGATGGTCTCTTCTTATTTTATGTATGACACAGACAGACAAGAACACATCTTTATCTCTGATTAGCACTAATGGGTCCATCTTTCTCCTGTTGAAGTGTAGGAGATCTTTGTCATTGATTTCACTGGAATCAGAATCAGGTCCTAAGGCCTATTCCATCTCCTATGTGTAGGAGTTCTGGGGGATTTTTATGTTGCCAAACAATATCAGACAAACATATTGCCAAACAAAGGGTAAAAACTGAGCTAAAAAACACAAGCCTCATCGTTTGCTCAGATTATCTTTTGATAATAAATCCATGGTACACCCACATCTTGAATACTGCATGCAGACGTGGTCACCCCATCTCCAAAAAGATATACTGGAATTGGAAAAGGTTCAGAAAAGGGCAAAAAAAATTATTAGAGAGTACGGAACGGCTTCCGTATGAGGAGGGATTAATAAGACTGGGACTTTTCAGTTTGGAAAAGAGACCATTAAGGGGGGATATGATTGAGGTCTACAAAATCATGACTGGTATGGAGAAAGTAAATAAGGAAGTATTATTTACTCCTTCTCATAACACAAGAACTAGGGGTCACCAAATGAAATTAATAGGCAACAGGTTTAAAACAAACAAAAGCAACTATTTTTTCACACAATGCACAGTTGGTCTGTGGAACTCTTTGCCAGAGGATGTTGTAAAGACCAAGTCTATAACAGAGTTCAAAAAAGAACTAGGTAAGTTCATAGAGGATAGGTCCATCAATGGCTATTCATCAGGATGGGCAGGGATGGTGTCCCTAGCCTCTGATTGCCAGGAGCTGAGAATGGGTGACAGGGGATGGATCATTTGATGATACCTGTTCTATTAATTTCCTTTGGGGCACCTGGCATTGACCGTTGTAGGAAGACAGGCTACTGGGCTAGATGGACCTTTGGTCTGATCCAGTATGGCCGCTCTTATGTTCTTATGATGCCTGTCTCAGACTGTCATGAACTGTTCCTATAGCAGGAAGATTTTCAGTTGGTCATGGGAAAGAGGAGATCATTTTTCCATTGAGATGTTGAAGAGTTGCTCATAATGACAAACTCTGTACTGTATGTGCTGTTGGATGATTATGGTCCTACTCTTGGAAAAGCTGCAGTTTTTAACTGAAGATTCTGTGACTTGTCATAGGAGCAAGTAAACCCCTGTGAAGAGGCAGAGGATGATGGGAAGGAAGCTAGCTGCTCATGCCTCCGCGATCATTTTGGTATGACCTATTTGTCATATGGTACCCTGATTATTACTTATACGGAGGGCTCTGCTACGGCAGCGTAAAAGGAGCTCAAAAGTGGTAAACATAGTCTCACTTCAAGGCCCCTTTTCACTGCCAGAGTTATCTAATTGAGCCTCAGTGTAAACAGGAACCAGACTCTGTATGTTTAGCGGCTCCCTTAGACCCATCATTATTTTAATACACTTTCTATTGGGCACAATAATTATAAATTCTTACCTGACAATATTGAATATAACACTACACCATTGTTTCCAAAATCAAGGTCCTTTGCAAACACAGTGGTGACAAGTGTACCTTCTGGCTGTCCTTCCAAAACCTGCCATCAAACAATGTGTTTACAAGAGCACTTTACATATTATAAAGGACATTAATGAGTCATAATTGAATTCATACACCACAAAACAGTTAACTTCAGTACTTATATAGTAGGAGCACTTTCCATTCTAGAAATGGCTACAGTCAGTGAAAATAAGCTACATTTCAGATTTCAGAGGAACAGCCGTGTTAGTCTGTATTCGCAAAAAGAAAAGGAGTACTTGTGGCACCTTAGAGACTAACCAATTTATTTGAGCATGAGCTTTCGTGAGCTACAGCTCACTTCATCAGATGTTTACCGTGGAAACTGCAGCAGACTTTATATACACACAGAAATCATGAAACAATACCTCCTCCCACCCCACTGTCCTGCTGGTAATAGCTTATCTAAAGTGATCAACAGGTGGGCCATTTCCAGCACAAATCCAGGTTTTCTCACCCTCCACCCCCCCACACAAATTCACTCTCCTGCTGGTGCTAGCCCATCCAAAGTGACAACTCTTTACGTAATCAAGTCGGGCTATTTCCTGCATAGATCAAGGTTTTCTCACATCCCCCCCACCCCCATACACACACAAACTCACTCTCCTGCTGGTAATAGCTCATCTAAACTGACCACTCTCCAGGTTTAAATCCAAGTTAAACCAGAACATCTGGGGGGGGGGGGGGTAGGAAAAAACAAGAGGAAACAGGCTACCTTGCATAATGACTTAGCCACTCCCAGTCTCTATTTAAGCCTAAATTAATAGTATCCAATTTGCAAATGAATTCCAATTCAGCAGTTTCTCGCTGGAGTCTGGATTTGAAGTTTTTTGTTTTAAGATAGCGACCTTCATGTCTGTGATTGCGTGACCAGAGAGATTGAAGTGTTCTCCGACTGGTTTATGAATGTTATAATTCTTGACATCTGATTTGTGTCCATTTATTCTTTTACGTAGAGACTGTCCAGTTTGACCAATGTACATGGCAGAGGGGCATTGCTGGCACATGATGGCATATATCACATTGGTGGATGTGCAGGTGAATGAGCCTCTGATAGTGTGGCTGATGTTATTAGGCCCTGTGATGGTGTCCCCTGAATAGATATGTGGGCACAATTGGCAACGGGCTTTGTTGCAAGGATAAGTTCCTGGGTTAGTGGTTCTGTTGTGTGGTATGTGGTTGTTGGTGAGTATTTGCTTCAGGTTGCGGGGCTGTCTGTAGGCAAGGACTGGCCTGTCTCCCAAGACCTGTGAGAGTGTTCGGTCATCCTTTAGGATAGGTTGTAGATCCTTAATAATGCGTTGGAGGGGTTTTAGTTGGGGGCTGAAGGTGACCGCTAGTGGCGTTCTGTTATTTTCTTTGTTAGGCCTGTCCTGTAGTAGGTAACTTCTGGGAACTCTTCTGGCTCTATCAATCTGTTTCTTTACTTCTGCAGGTGGGTATTGTAGTTGTAAGAAAGCTTGACAGAGATCTTGTAGGTGTTTGTCTCTGTCTGAGGGGTTGGAGCAAATGCGGTTGTATCACAGAGCTTGGCTGTAGACGATGGATCGTGTGGTGTGGTCAGGGTGAAAGCTGGAGGCATGCAGGTAGGAATAGCGGTCAGTAGGTTTCCGGTATAGGGTGGTGTTTATGTGGCCATTGTTTATTAGCACTGTAGTGTCCAGGAAGTGGATCTCTTGTGTGGACTGGACCAGGCTGAGGTTGGTGGTGGGATGGAAATTGTTGAAATCATGGTGGAATTCCTCAAGGGCTTCTTTTCCATGGGTCCAGATGATGAAGATGTCATCAATATAGCGCAAGTAGAGTAGGGGCTTTAGGGGACGAGAGCTGAGGAAGCGTTGTTATAAATCAGCCATAAAAATGTTGGCATACTGTGGGGCCATGCGGGTACCCATAGCAGTGCCGCTGATCTGAAGGTATACATTGTCCCCAAATGTGAAATAGTTATGGGTAAGGACAAAGTCACAAAGTTCAGCCACCAGGTTAGCCGTGACATTATCGGGGATAGTGTTCTTGACGGCTTGTAGTCCATCTTTGTGTGGAATGTTGGTGTAGAGGGCTTCTACATCCATAGTAGCCAGGATGGTGTTATCAGGAAGATCACCGATGGATTGAAGTTTCCTCAGGAAGTCAGTGGTGTCTCGAAGGTAGCTGGGAGTGCTGGTAGCGTAGGGCCTGAGGAGGGAGTCTACATAGCCAGACAATCCTGCTGTCAGGGTGCCAATGCCTGAGATGATGGGGCGCCCAGGATTTCCAGGTTTATGGATCTTGGGTAGTAGATAGAATATCCCAGGTCGGGGTTCCAGGGGTGTGTCTGTGCGGATTTGATCTTGTGCTTTTTCAGGAAGTTTCTTGAGCAAATGCTGTAGTTGCTTTTGGTAACTCTCAGTGGGATCATAGGGTAATGGCTTGTAGAAACTCGTGTTGGAGAGCTGCCGAGCAGCCTCTTGTTCATATTCCGACCTATTCATGATGACAACAGCACCTCCTTTGTCAGCCTTTTTGATTATGATGTCAGAGTTGTTTCTGAGGCTGTGGATGGCATTGCGTTCCGCATGGCTGAGGTTATGGGGCAAGTGATGCTGCTTTTCCACAATTTCAGCCCGTGCACGTCGGCGGAAGCACTCTATGTAGAAGTCCAGTCTGCTGTTTCGACCTTCAGGAGGAGTCCATCTAGAATCCCTCTTTCTGTAGTGTTGGCAGGGAGACCTCTGTGGATTAGTATGTTGTTCAGAGGTATTTTGGAAATATTCCTTGAGACGGAGACGTCGAAAATAGGATTCTAGGTCACCACAGAACTGTATCATGTTCGTGGGGGTGGAGGGGCAGAAGGAGAGGCCCCGAGATAGAACAGCTGCATTTGTGTGGGGGGGTGGAGGGTGAGAAAACCTGGATTTGTGCTGGAAATGGCCCACCTGTTGATCACTTTAGATAAGCTATTACCAGCAGGACAGTGGGGTGGGAGGAGGTATTGTTTCATGATTTCTGTGTGTATATAAAGTCTGCTGCAGTTTCCACGGTAAACATCTGATGAAGTGAGCTGTAGCTCACGAAAGCTCATGCTCAAATAAATTGGTTAGTCTCTAAGGTGCCACAAGTACTCCTTTTCTTTCTACATTTCAGAGATACTGCTAAATTAATACATTTCTAGCAAATCTCCAATGAAGTTCATTTGTCTGCATGTCTCTTCTCTATAGAAATTATTAATATCTCTTGTTTCTGAGAGCATAAGTAAAACATGAGATGCAAAATTTAAAGAAAATACCAGTACAATCTTCAGCTCCTAATGGTCCTGAAACAGTTCAAGTCCAACTGTTCATACATTCACATTGCCCATATGATACATGAAGCCAAATCTTGAATGCCTTACCCAATTTTTGCCCTATGATATTTAATACCATAATAAAAAGCAACTAATACATTAGAAGTAATTTTCTTTAAAAAGTTAAGGAGTACTTGTGGCACCTTAGAGACTAACCAATTTATTTGAGCATGAGCTTTCGTGAGCTACAGCTCACTTCATCAGATGTTTACCGTGGAAACTGCAGCAGACTTTATATACACACAGAGAATATGAAACAATACCTCCTCCCACCCCGATTTGTGCTGGAAATGGCCCACCTGTTGATCACTTTAGATAAGCTATTACCAGCAGGACAGTGGGGTGGGAGGAGGTATTGTTTCATATTCTCTGTGTGTATATAAAGTCTGCTGCAGTTTCCACGGTAAACATCTGATGAAGTGAGCTGTAGCTCACGAAAGCTCATGCTCAAATAAATTGGTTAGTCTCTAAGGTGCCACAAGTACTCCTTTTCTTTTTGCGAATACAGACTAACACGGCTGTTCCTCTGAAACTTTAAAAAGTTGTTTATTTGATACTGACCCTAAAATGTCAGGCTGTTAATTGAATCTGAATACGCTGTTTGTTTATGTCATGCTAGGGGAAACAGGCAATGTAACTTTCACATGGAATAAAAGACATGTCTTACTGAGAGAATACACTTGATTTAATAATGTCCATGTAGCACTCAGAGCACATGTATTTCACAACACTGTGGTGTGTGAACTGAGCTTTGGAAGGAAGTCTCATTTACAATTCAAGCTTTTTGCCACAAGATGGTGCTCAAAACAAATCCTGCACTCCTATGATTGACCAGATTAGAAAATCACTGAAACAGTTACTACAAACCTTGAAGGTTACTTCTTTTCCAGATGGAATCTGAGGGAAGTAAGGCTGATTATCATTGAGGTCAGCAACTAAGATATATGCAGTTGTTGTGGCATTACGCCGGGGAGCACCGTGGTCAGTCACTAGTACGATCAATTGATGGTGAGTTTGCTGCTCGTGGTCTAATGCAACCCAGTTTATAATTTCACCTGTTGGACCAAAAAACAAAACAAAAAAATTTAAAAAAAGGGGGAAAAGGCACTGAATTAGTGTATTCACTGTATTAGTGAAATCTTAATAGACTGTATAAAATTCATAGAAATATGCAGAGTTTAAACCAACTGCTTGCGTCATTTGATATACCTACTACAGTATAGAGAATATTATCCCAGTTTACTAAACTTCATTCCACAAAAACACCTAGTTAATCAAAGTTTACTTATATACCCCAGGGCCATACTACACTCTTCACTGTACTCTGGATCCCAGAAACTCGCACAATGAAACAATATTAGCCAACTGTGCAGGCTGGCTATTTTAAAGGAGAAATCTGACCCTCTCTTATTGTATCCCAGATTGGAGAACCTGAAGTGCAGACTTTAACTGCTGACCTTATCTTCACTGTGCTTCAGAGTTAGGAAACTCAACACAGAGTCTCTCTCATGATCAGCAAACCTAATCTTCACCGTACTCTGAGGCTGGAGATTCCAGTGGTCAAATTTAATACAAGCTTCCGGACAGCTGCTCAAGTGCACTCACATTTATCTGAGGATTTTGAGTGTCCCTATTTTTCAGACAGATGAATTTATATTATATATTTTAAGACCTTCTCTGTTACTTGTCTCCCTCTCTTTGTTTACCTTTAAATTTTCATAAGCTTATTATACAAGACTTTACTTTGAAACAGTAGTTTTATTTTGAGATGTCACATTTCCAAAGTATCTAGAAGGGCCCTTTGACCCCTGGGTATACACCATTTTACGTGGTGGAATCTCACATTGCAGATGTGTCTTGCAACAGCAATCTCTTGCTAGTCAGCATATTCACAGTACCTGTGTTTCTTAAAGGCTTCCCTTCTGCATGACTTTCAGTATTTTATTCTACACTACGAAAACATACTGGAGATAATGGTTATCACTGAGAACATTTTGGGATTCATTTTACAGTGCATAACTTTTCTGAGACAATTTTCTTTTTGCAACACTACTGATATCTTCAATTCACAGTTTTAACATATACTATTCAAGATTTTCACAAATGTGCTCCCTTTAAAATGTCACTATTCCTTTCATTCTTGTTTCTCGCTGATCATTTCTTTTCAACCTTACTTGACCACTAGACAATTAGGAATTTTTCATATGATTTATTGAAGCTATTATTTAATACTCCCAAATTTTCTAAGGTCAAACACAGACTTATGAATGAGTAAGCAAAGAAAAGCTATGACTGAGTTGAGAGTGAAAAAACAAACCCTCTAGGTTATCCTATTCTTCATTGATTATTCCATCCCAACTTTTTGAGGCTCTGAATTATGCGTATTAATTATGCGTACGCCCACCCAAGAGAGACATGACAGTTCCTGGACTTCACACATTACATTAATTCCTTTAGAGGAAGACTTCTTTCTAAAAGAAATAACGGGGAGATTACAACTCATAACATGCTACCTGTGTTGGAATTAATCTTGAAAAACTTTCCATCTGACAAGAGGAAATAGGAAAGCTGTCCATTTCTTCCTGAGTCTCTGTCAACTGCTGTGATGGTACCAACCACACCTCGGGGAACTGGACTTTCCTCAATTTCAAAAAAATAAAGATCACGCATGAACATCGGGGAATTGTCATTTTCATCCAGGACATTAACAATTACTGATGTACTCGCATTTTGCCCTGAGCTGTCCTCTGGGCTGCTGACAAAGGCTCTAAAATTGTACATCTGTGTAAATTCATAGTTCAGATACTTCCGGAGGTAAATCCAGCCAGTGACAGGGTCAATTCCAAATGCAGCAGAATCTGTGCTAGGCTCTAGGGAGTACACCATCTGTGAGGCAGTGTGCTGTGGAACTTGTGTGTGGGCTTGTACTTGTAGAATTTTGGCATCCAGTGAAGAAGTCTCACTGACTTCCACTTGATACACCAAGTTTTCAAAAGTCAAGGTGGTGCCCATCTTTTGCTCTTCAACAATCACTGTCAGCATTATCAGAGAACTCAGTGGAGGAGTTCCGTAATCTTCAGCAGTTATGTGCAGAGCATATTCATGCTGCTTATCTGTGAACAGAGTCCTGGTGAGATATACCACCCCAAGGCTTGGATCAATGGTAAATGCATTTGACTGCCTGTTTGCAATAGTATATTTGATTACCCCATTTAGCCCACTGTCTTTATCTTCTGCATGAGCAATGTACAGAGCTGTGCCAGGTACTGTACTATGAGATATAGTTATCTTATCAAATTCTGTAAGAAATACTGGAGGATTGTCATTGACATCCATCACAGATATATTGACCTGGGTGCTACTGTAGACAGCGGAGCTGCCCAACTGCGACTGGACAGTAAGCACAATGAGAGACTGAGTTTCATGGTCCAGCTGCTTTTTGGTGAGAATGATTCCAAACTGAGGGTCAATAGAGAATCTTCCATAAGGATCACCGGAGGAAATTTTGTAAGAGATCACTTCTAAAGTATCTACAAGTGGGAACAAAAACAATCGATGTAAAAAAAATAAGCAACTGATAATATGAGTGTTTAATACAATACACTAAAGAACATCTGTGAAGAATATGCTGCAATGTTGTTAGAATCAGCTGAAAAAATGAAATCCCCTTTACAGATGTTTTTCTTTCCTGAGCTCTTTATGTTTTCTTGCTCATGTCCCTGGAGCCCTTCAATAAAATGAATACTATACAGGCTGCATTTGACTGCATCTATTTTGTCCATTTATGAGATGTTTGATTTTCAACTCCCTGGTATGATAAACCTTTATAGAGAAAATGTCATTGCTCTCTCATTTTCTTCTCGTTATATAAAATATAGTGAAAACCTCCAATAATTATGCCATTTTTAACAGAACAATTTCACTATAAGCTGAGATTCACTACAGCAAGAACTGAGATACATGGCAATACATTAAAAGAATTGCATTTCATTGAGTTTTTCTCTAAATGTACTTTTACTACGTCCAAGATCATTAAATATTCCACTACAGCTTAATATTCTTTCCCATCCTTTTCCACAGGACCACAGAACATTAGCAGAGCCACTCCCTGGGCACTACTTTAGCCCTGGCAGGACACCTACAGCCAATACACTGTCCTTCCATGGGGGAGAAAGGCGGTGGATTGATGTACTCACAAATCTATCCAAAGCCCTTGCCCCTGCTTCCTTATATGTAGAACTCCATCACCAACATGGTATTTGGATTCCTTTTGCGAGATTCCCAAATCCTACTTCCACAGTGATCTGCAGAAGAGCCACACCAGAGCTGCCCAGTTAGGGTCTTCTGCAGCTATAAAGAATATAGCAGGATTTGAGCCTTTTCCTCTAAGAAAATAAAGAATAAAATAGATTTAGAAAAACATTATAAGATCACCAGGATTTCGCCATTTGATTTGGGAAAACATTTTTTGAGGCAACAAGTTGTCTAGATTCCCTCAAAGAGTTGCACCTTACTATTGCTCTAATACCGGGATTTGTTAACTTTTTCAGTGTGGACCAATTAGGGTGGAAGCAGTACCCCATGTGACCTACCAGCTCACCACAGACCACCAAGAAGTACTCCATGGACCACAGTTTGGGAATCTATGTTCTAAAGGCATACAAAGGGGATCCAGTTGTAAACTTAAGCATACTTCTTGTATATAGTATTGTAATGGTGAACTGTTCTTTTTACAGCCTGGTTATTCCTGTTGTGGAGAGAAGCCTGGCAGGCAGGTGCAGAGAATCATCTGACCCAGTTGGCCAGCATCAGGTGACTGGGTCTGATGATTACCAGGCAGGAATATAAATGTGGGTCTCAATTCTCAGAGGGAACCTCCAGGAGAGAGTTGGGAAAACACTCCTGTAACTGCAGTGGATGACTACGAGGGGGTGAGACGCTCCGCAAATTCACCTATGCTGGGTGGAGGCTCTGACTACTAAGATGCCAAAGGGTCCCACAGATTATGTTAGAAACAGGACTATTATTTTGCGTTCTCACTCGACATTTCCTTTTTTGCGTGTTGGACAATACAGAGATCACTGAGGCAAGGACTATGAACTGATCTCGGTGCGGCTGATTTTTTCCACAGGTGGGTGATTGAGTCCACCAGCCTACTAGTATGTTTGACACATTTTAAAAAATGATGAGCTAAAAGAGAGAGATCTTTTTCATATGTTTCTGTACCAGTTACAATTAGAACGTGTTGTAATCTGTCTGAATGCAATCTAAGAGGACAACTTACTTAAAGGCTCTCTGGCTTTTACAGTTCCAACAGGGCTGCCTTCAGGGATATCTTCAGGAACAGAAAAGGTATACCGTGACCTCTCAAATATAGCTGGTGCCAAAGTAGTCTGGAGGATGTTTACTGTGACGGATGCATTAACAACAGAGGTAAGGCCACCTCCATCCCGTGCAGAAACAGTCAAGAACATCATGGTATGATCCAAATGACTGAGAGTTGATATCAAGTAAATAATTCCTGAAAATACAGAAAAAATTAATAATGAAGACACTGAGTTCATGGAATCCTACACCAAGTTTTAGTAAAACATAAAACATTCTCAGAGTGCACCCCAAAAGTGGGAGAAGGGTGGAACTTAAATATGGCAGGAAGCAGACTGTTACATATTCCCTTATTGTGATTTCATAAATAGCAATGTAGATGCATTTGAAGTAACCATGCCAAATTCTGCTTTCAGTTACACTGGCATAAATCCAGAACAACTTCAGTGATTTCAGTGGAGTAACTCTGAACTTACAGCAGTATCAAGGAGACCAGAGTTTGACCAATAACAAAACTAACAACTCTGGAAGTGAATTAGGGAAAAAATAACTTTATTAATGGTAAGAGATTAATTCCACTTCACTATCAGGAAAGTTCATTCCACTTCAGAATGGCAACAATGACAGTCTATTCACAAAACTTCCCAAACAAATACAAGTTAAAGCCACAAAACACAAGTCTGTGGGACCTGTGGTGGACATCATGACAGCAATCACTTACTGGCTGATCATAGCTTAAGGGAAGGGCATCCTTAACTAGCAATTTATGAGATCTGTTGAACTGGCAAAATGTTACCAATTTACTCTTTTGCTTAAAGCAAAAGAAATAACTGCTATAATTTCTGCCTCTTTGAAAGGGTAATGCAGTGCCTTGTCCATAGCAGCTGTCTTTGGGAGCAGCATTCCTCAAAACAAATTCATTTTCAGCATTTAACTCAGATGAATGGGATCAATATCTCTAAATGTATTTTATTCTGACTGCTTGAATAATTACATGTATCATGTTTTTGTTAATTCTCGTATAGTCTACATATAACTACAGAAACAACCTTGAACTTTAGCAGCACTTCCAATGTAAAAGGCAGTAACATGGGCATAGAGTCTTCTTTTGGGCTCCATGCTCCCGCCTTACACAGTCAAAACTCCTCTTGATTTTAAAGGGAGCTTTCATGAGTCAAGAGTTCAGAATCTCAGTAATAATGGTTATATTTAAATATGACTCTTTCTAAGATGTTCATATAGGACTAGAGTGATTCTCCAAAATCAATACTTGTAATTCTTCCATAAGATTTAATATTGGCCACTTGTCCTTTTCAAGAACAGTCAGGATTTCTGAATTAAGAAGCAACAACAAAAATAAACGGATTAACCCTTAAAGTGCACAGAGGTCTATAGTGTACATGAAGTGAATGGAAATACCAAAAGATCCAGGGAAGTGCACTCTACAGTATAGTATAATAGAGCAAGAAAGTACATCAGGACATGTTTGCTGCATCATAAATTGCATACAGGTACATTGTGAGGCACAAGACCAAATATCAAGTGGCTTTGACCATCTGAGACATGGAATAATGGCACAGTAATTATGTTTTAGAATGCTTTAGTGCTGTTAATATGGATAGCTGGTTTTAATATTTAAAATGTTTTAAATGTATATATCGTGTGTTATATATCATATTCTGTACATATTCTGCCTTAATTATTGGTTTTAGTGGTATTCAATATAACTGATGAAACTCAGAAAAAGTCACAAGTCTATTTCAGTTCAACTCTGATTCTCATTTACATCTAAGCCCCTTTAAGACCCCTTTATTCTGCTGGAGCAATACAGTGTAAATGAGATTCAGCCCCTTTTTAGTCAAGCAACAGAGTTCCTCCAAAGTCATCTGAGAATTTGTTTTCACACAACTGAATGAAGGATGGGAGATATCAAATGCACATGGTATCCTGCTTTGACGCTGGCTGTTTAAATGATAGTTGGCCAATTTTAGTTATTTATTTTGGGACATTTTAGAGTTTCTTCCCTTATCCCCTTTTTGGGGGCATTCTACTTTACTTCAATATCTTCCTTATTTTTCTTCTGTCACAGTTAATTTAAAAGTCTACATTAGGAGCAAGAGATGATCACAGGCAAGGGGGAAACCTATAAACCTAGCACATATCAATATCCAGATTATGCTGTTTAAAGATGTCTGCCTACAATGAACGCACATCAACAGAACCAAAACCAAATTCCTATCTTTAGTTGATGTATAATACATTATTTGATAAACGACTTGGTTAAAAATTATTTTCCTCCCATTTAACTCTCTTTCTCTTCGCCTTCCTCTTGTCTCTTTTGTCCTCCTCCTTCTTCTTTGTGTTTTTAATCTCTTTCTTCCTTTTCCACCAACATGACCATTATATTTACAGCTGTGGAGAAGGCAGTCTCACTTCAGCTACATAGACACTGATTTGGTAGCACTCACTCCAGTTTCTATATGAAGCTGCACTTTGATTTTTCTCTCTTCCCCATCACTCTGTCACTTTGAGATTCTAAGGAGGAAGCAAAAGTGTGCTGTTTATTCATGAGACTATGTGTCCTCCTTTTTCCTCTCATGTTTTGAGAATGACTGATCAATGGGTAGAAGGAAACCCATTTCTGCCTGTCTGTCCTTAAATAAGTACAATTTTGAACAAGAAAATTGATAGTCAAATTTAAGATTTTTTAGGACATTGTTCATTGAGATTAAATATGAGGCCTTGTCTACACTACAAAATTAGGTTGAATTTACAGAAGTCGGTTTTGTAAAAAGCGTTTTTATACTGTCGATTGTGTGTGTCCCCACACAAATGCTCTAAGTGCATGTAGTCGGTGGAGTGTGTCCACAGTACTGAGACAACCGTCGACTTCCGGAGCGTTGCACTGTGGGTAGCTATCCCACAGTTCCCGCAGTCTCCACCACCCATTTGAATTCTGGGTAGAAATTCCAGTACCTGATGGGGCTAGAACATTGTCACGGGTGGTTCTGGGTACTCATCAGGCCCCCCTTTCCTCCCTCCCTCCGTGAAAGCAAGGGCAGACAATCGTTTTGTGCCTTTTTTCTTGAGTTACTTGTGCAGACGCCATACCACGGTAAGCATGGAGCCCGCTCAGCTAACCGTCACCGTATGTCTCCTGGGTGCTGGCAGACGTGGTACTGCATTGCTTTTGGCAGCAGACACTGCAGTATGACTGCTAGCTGTCGTCGACATAGTCCAGGGTGCTCTTTTAACCGACCTCGATGAGGTTGGGGCGCCTGGGCAAACATGGGAGTGACTCAGCCAGGTCATTTCCCTTTTAAGTTTCATCACAAAGTTCCATGGAAGTGCCCTTACGCATCTGAACTTTGTGACTTGCTTTCCCCTGCCCTGAAGTGCAAGAATACCAAGATGAGAGCAGCCCTCACAGTTCACAAGTGAGTGGCAATAGCCCTGTGGAAGCTTGTAATGCCAGACAGCTACCGGTCAGTCGGTAATAATTAGGAGTGGGCAAATCTACTGTGGGGGTTGCTGTGATGCAAGTAGCCAACGCAATCACTGAGCTGCTGCTATCAAAGGTACTGACTCTGAGAAATGCGCAGGTCATAGTGGATAACTTTGCTGCAATGGGATTCCCTAACTGTGGTGGGGCTACAGACAGAACTTGTTGAATGCCAGCCTTCTGTTGCTTGGGCTCTCCACTGGGGTGGAGTGGTTGGGTGCCCGGAGCCTCCCACACCGCGTTCTTGGGCGTCTGGGTGAGGAGGCTATGGAACTTGGGGAGGAGGGAGCGCGGTTAAGCAGGGCCTGCAGCGGCAGTCTGTGATCCTGCTGCCATTCATGAACCTCCACCAGACGCCGGAGCATGTCCATTTGATCCCACAGTATCCCCAGCATTTCCTCATGCCTCCTCTGATCTTCCTGCCGCCACCTCTCCTCACGTTCATCGGCTACTGTCCTGTACTCTGCTATTGTGTCCCTCTACACAGCTCTGTCAGTGCTGGACAACTGCATGAGCTCAGAGAACATTTCATCGCGCGCGCATTTTTTTCGCCGCCTTATCTGAAATAGCCTCTGGGACAGAGGAGGGAGGCTTGAAACATTTGCAGTTGCTGGAGGAAAAAAAGGGAGTGAAGTATTTAAAAAGATACATTTTACAGAACAATGGCTATACTCTTTCACAGTGAACAACACTATTCACATTGCATAGCACATGTGATTTTGGTACAAGGTTGCATTTTGCATCTTATATTGAGTGCCTGCGGCTTTGGTGTTAGAGATCACACACTCGGGGCCAGGCAACAGAACTCGGCTTGCAGGCAGCCATGGTAAGCCATAGTCTTTTGGCTTCTGCAACCTTCATAACAGCAGCCCCCTCCTTTCCCATAACAAGCAAAGCCCGTTGAGTTGGCCATTTACTGCTGCAGTTTTCCTGTTAATGTGCAGCAGCAGAAACCAAACTAACCCCCTCCCCCCATCCAATTCTCTGGGATGATCGCTTTTCCCCTCCCCCCACCACCTGGCTGGTATCAGGGAAGACCCCTGCCAGCCAAATGCAAACAGCTCAGAGCTAATGGCCGCCCCTCCCACTGCATGGCTAATTGCGGGGAGGTTTTATTTTCAGCCACAGGCAAACAGCCCAGTAGGAATGGCCACCTCTGAATGTCCCCTTAATCAAATTCCCCTATTTCAACCAGGTTACCATGAACGATATCACTCTCTTGAGAATAACACATATAAAGAACGGATGTTGCTTGAATGCCAGCAAACACCGGGACCATGCACTGCCAGGCTTTGTCATGCAATGATACCAGATTACTTGCTACTAGCATGGCATGGTGAAGTGTCCTACCATGGAGGACGGAATAAGGCTGCTCTCCCCAGAAACCTTCTGCAAAGGCTTTTAGAGTACCTCCAGGAGAGCTTCAGGGAGATTCCCTGGAGGATTTCCGCTCCATCCCCAGACACGTTAAAAGACTTTTCCAGTAGCAATACTGGCCACAAATGCATCCCAAGTCCTCAGGGCTACTTAATCATTATAAAAGCAAGCATTTTTTAATATGTATTATATTTTAAAAGGTACACTCACCAGAGGTCCCTTCTCTGGCTTCGTTGGGTTGGGAGGGTATTTCAGTCAGGGTGATAAAAAGATCCTGGCTGCCGGGGAGAACAGTGTGCTGTGTGCTCTCCCCAAGC